AATCGTCTGCTGATATTAAGCCCACGAATAAAAAAAGAAAATCTGATCAATTGGACTAATTCACGTTTTAATGCATTAAAATATATATCAGTATACTATAAAATATTGAATATATACTTTTCAGGAAATTTACCTTTTCCTTTCCTTCCTAGACAAGTTTTCCAAGACCCTTGTTTCATTCAAAAATAAATCCAAAATAAATTTCCTGTTTTCGAATTTAAAATTACCTCTATCAATGAGCCTTATGACTTCCAAAAAAAGCGCTTGGCTCTCAAAGACTTCTGGATTGGACTTCTTAATTTTTAGCAATTCCTTCGTTGCCTTTCTTTCAATTCTACCCAAAACAGACGTTAAATACTTTACCAGCACCAAAACTTTCTCATTTATCTTTTCAAAAGTAACAATAGATGTTTCATCGATATCATTGAACAAATCACCACCATATTCGTTATCAGTACCATTGAATATTGAATAATACTTGATATTTCTGTAGGGATTTATATACTCGACATTGAATAAATCATTCGTTGATGAAGACTTAGGATAAGCGAGGCACTTAGGATTTGAGAATTCATCAATGACACTAATCCAATTCAATTCATCTAGTATTTCAACACCCTCAGTTGTAGATGCAATCATGCCTATTACATAAAAACAAATATTTCGAATTTGCCATATTGAACACTCGTAGAATAGTTCCAACACAATTTTGATTATTGATTTGTCCAAAGAAGTATTATATATTGGATCAAGTAATTGTATACCATACTCAGAACTTGAAATGATTCCAATAATCCATAGTTGCTGTTTCAAGAATTTCAAATTGAACTTAAACCTACCAAAAGATTGGGTCTGATTCTGAGCTTTCATTGTTGCATTTTGTTCTCCATAATGAATTTCTGAGTCCGAGTCCTCTATTTCAATATCATCTTTACTATTCAAGTATCTTGCACAAATATCAATTTCATTTATTATCTTATCCAAATAATTTTTTTGTTTCAAATTCGAGAAGAAATTTAAGCCGTCCTCTGTTGATAATAGATAATTGAAAAACTTGATCGAATTATCATCTTGATAAGTCCCCACAATTGAACTGGTAGGATTGTAAGGGAAAAAATTGGTCTGTATTAAATTCTCAATTACATCTAAATGAGTGAGATTCTTGGAGTTGAACCAATATTCGCATTCATTATCAATGAATCCAGTTTCTTCCAAATATTTGAATCCATTAGAAGTCTTCAAGCAATTCATTAGTAAAAACTTGCCCTTCACTGATTTTGATAGTATATGCACTGGAGGCCTCAAACTAATAAAATAGTCTAAATTATTAAGGTCGTTAGACATATAGTAGGTATTCAACAAGTCAATAGATTTATCCAAGGTCTGATAGTTGATGTCATACAATAAATTGGCAAGCAATTTAATGGTGAACAATTCCGTTTCCTTTTGCTGAATTAACTTTGGAAGTACCGAGCTCATCAAAAATGACTTGATCTTTACGTTTGAAACACTCATTGACTTAGCCAAAATTATTCTTAGCTCACTGTCGAATGCAAAATCCAAGTTTTTAAATAATTCACAGATCAAATAATTGTTTGAGCTCTTTGAAATAGAATATTCAATTATATCTTGGAAAATATTGAAAAATTGCCACTGTTCTAGCATTTTGAGGCCATACAAATTTGAGCTTAAGACACCAACAAGCTTTAAATATCCAATACTCAATGTTGATTCCAACCTTTTTTTAGACAATATTGGATCTTTTGCCGAAATACCACTAAATGGGTCAATTTGGGCAAAAATCTCTGACAATTGGGGTAGTAACTTATTCATACTCAAATATTTAATTCCTTTATCAAAGCTTAACAATGCCTCCAACAACTGACACCCAGTATCAATATACTTATTATGAGAATCATCACGTCGAGACAGGGAGCTGGATATTTTACAAAATCGGAATTTGAAGGGACGGTAGAAGGACAACAATCTCTTCAAAAATTTAGGATTTTTTTCGGTTAGTTCATCAAATCGTTTAGGATTCATCAAAGGGCCTTGTATAAAATCAGATATCAATGACCAATTCCAATTTTCAAACTCTTTTAATGCTAAGACTTTGGTGCTGTTGATTAATATTTTAAAAGCATTATCATCAAGATCATATCTTGATTTAATGTTAAGTTCTTTTATATAGCTCTTTAATTCATTATTCGACTTAAGTTCAAGGACTTCATTTCGACCGTTACTGGTTCTGATTAAACTTTCGATTTTGAATATAGATGAAATGATCGGTTTATTTTTTATCGAACTTGGCAATAAAACTTTATTATGAAGGTATTCTCTAGGGAGAAGATCCGATGTCAATTTTAAAATATTACTCAATAATGCCGTTGCCTTTTCTGTGATTGATTCATCAGAATCTTCTTCAATGAGCTCAACTAAAATTGGGATAATATTATTGTTGATTAGAATCATTGTCAACAATCCTCTATAATGTTGAATTAAATTATACTCAATGCTTTGTTTATTTAGTTCCAGGTATTTGAAAACTGGGCTACCTCTGCCAACTTTCGACTTAAAATGTTTAATATAAGAACCGAAAGAGCCAGATTCTAACCATGAAATTAACTTGATCCTCAAAATATCGAATAGCACATCGAGAACCAAATGCCTCGTTTGATCATTCTTGTTCTTTAAAGTCAATAAAAATGACCTTAAAATCTCAAAATTGTTAATCGAAAAGGCCATTAATCCATTATAAGTTTTCAAAAGAATGCTAATCAAGAAAGAAATTTTTTGTAATTTTAATAACGGAATTTTCCTAGTATTATCATTGAACCCATCAAAATCAGATATCATAGAATTTAAATCGTACCCATTCCGTAAAAACTTCCTAGAATCTTTCTTATCTAAAATATTTATTAAGACCAAGAGGCAGCATAAGGAAATATCAAACGAACCATTTATAATCGTATCAATTAGCGTGTTAAAACCTCCACTATGAAATATTAGCTCTGGTTTATACAACGTTATCTCACAAATAGTTTCGATGCAATAATTTTTGAAGTTAGGTGTGAACAAATGGTCATCGCTTTCGATTAAACTAATGATCGCTTTAATGACACCTATCGATACCATATCTGCACCTCTTGGTATTGATATGAATTGCCTAATTAGCTTCAAAGACTGGATCTTTTCTAATAGATTCGGCTGGCTAGTGGACATGGTTATAATTATATAAATCAATATTTTAGACTGCACCAAAATTGTCAAAGATTCATAGTTTGATACCACACATCTTAATATCTTGTAGCTCAAAGCTCTGACTTCCAATACTTCATGATGAAACATAAATTGTATCTTATGGATTAAGCTCTTGATCATGAGATCATTTCGAAGATTTGGATGGAGATTAACCAAAGAGATAAGCTCGTTCCCCTTCGAAAGAATGAAGTATGCATCCTTTTCATTACTAAGACCACTTAGAATTTCACTAGAGAGATAAGTAGGGCTCTCTGCTGCCAGCAATGAATGTCTATCAAGCACATGTCTCTCTCTATCAATTGAACTGATATTGAAAGACTCAAGCGAAGTCAAAGTCGAGCTTCTATCTCGTTGCTGAACCCTTTGCCTGTTAAGGCTGTTACTGGATTTCGCATTGTGGATCATCGTCCATCACCTTCCTGGATCTTACGTTCAAAATGTTATCGCTCAATCTTTAATACACAAGTGTCCGTCGCGTGATTACTCTTAAAATCATAGGATGTACTTATATTTCCTCTGATAGTACGATCGGCAAGCGCGGTGGTAGTGCCTGGGAGTAGAGTTAGCAAGGTCAACTATTAGCGACGTGAGAGGTAATAATTTATACCGGAATCTCGCTAGAGAATTAGCGAAGTTGTCGCTATGCTCAAATAAATTGAATCTGAGAATATCTCTTCCCCAGGTTGCAGTGCTACCTTTAGATTAGTCGACTTGATGAATTGAAAGCATATGTATAGGACCTATTTATGGATAAGTCCTCTTTAGTTAACGACTAGGCAAATCGCCTCACTATGACACTGTATCTGTTACAGGTAATTGAAGTCTAGCGAAAGCAGAACTACTATATTTTTGAAAGATAAGCATTTATAACATTAAAAATGTTGGGCTACATGTGATAGACTACTACTACAGTAATGATATCGTAGTTAATATAATCATATCTCTCTCATCATAGTTCTGGCGATTGTAGAATTAACACTCCTACTCTTAGATTAAGTTGAAGCATGACAATTGATGAAGAATATAACACAAGAACAATAAACTGGAGCAAATTAAGCCTGCAATAGATAATAGATAACCACCATAGTCTTTTATAAAGGTTCGCTTTGCAATTTAATTGTATAGCAAGCAATGATGCTACTCAGATTGCCATTTAGTGTTGCACTTGTCAACTAAGAATAACTTCTCTTTCTACTCTCTACCAAATCCGAAAGCTATGCCCAAAATGAAGCTCACTGGTCATACATCAGCATAATTTATCACCAGGTTCATGCCCCAATATTTGATGCTATAATTAAATCTTCTCTTTCAGAGGTAACAACAATACACGACTTCTCCTCTGATCTTTCTTTTATCAATTCCCTTTTTCCGATACGTGACCATCTTTGGCCCCAAAAGGAATGTAACCGTTGGTAATCTGAAATTCCGGTAGGAATATGAGCGTGCTGTGCGGCGTGCTCACCCCGACATAAAAGGTCATGATGGAAATTTTATTCGGGGGCCCACAGGGGGAGCATAGTGAGCGCGAGAATTAATTTGTGATCACTACTCTTTCTGTTTGCTCCTCAGATCTCTAGTATTTCCTATATCCCTCAAATGGTCATCTTCGTTTTAAATAGTGAGTATATGGAAGCGCCTTGTGCTGTACGCGAGCGCTTAACTTTATCCGGCCCCTTCCATGGCTTAGAATATTCTCTATTATCCTTGACTTGAATATTATTATGTGAAGGCGGTGCTCTTGAAGTCGTTTGGGAACATAATCACCTCCAACGCTCGTCTGCATCGCGAGCGAGTGCATCTGTGGGTAAAATCTAAACTCCTTTCTATTTTGAAGAGTTCCGGAGGTTCGCAGATCGTGGCGGCACTTACATTTCAAATAAGTTACGGTCACCGAAACCGACTGGTGACCGTTCCGCTTTTTTTAAAAGATCCGTAGAAATTAGTGTACCTCGTCTCTTATTCCGTCCACAAACCGTCGATCAACTTAATATCTCACCGGGACATATACTCCTCTTGCTACCTCTCCAACCATTCCGGTCATCTATGGCAATCGCTGAGTTCGACCGATAACACTGGTCCGTCCAAGTCGCCTGTCAGATTATACGGCTCCCGTAATCGATATTGATCGACAGATAATTGGAAATTGGAAATATCGAGAGAGACCCGATTCAAATATCACCCATGCCCCAGTGAATATTGGTGATACTTGATATTTGTATATATAACAAAATTAGACTAAAATTAAGGACTAGTAGAGCGCTAGATAATAACAGCAAGGTTGACACCAACAGCACCAATTTGACTAAAAAAAGAGTTGAAAATCCACTCTACCTAATATAAGGAGAAAACGAAAAGAAACAACTTAAAAATTTACCAAGAATCGCATCAAAGTCAGCATCATAAGAGATTCAAAATCATAAGATGGCTACGTCTCAATCTAATAATATAAAAAAATGCCTCAGCTTGTTCACTTTCAATCTGAATGACAAATTGGACGGGAGTTCTGTTGACCAACCTCAACCGGATAAAGAGGTATGTAAGGAAAATGAACAGTTATCATCTCCGATGAACTCCCCTCTGTCTCATACCATGGGATCTTTACCTGAGAACGAAGACACCAATATTTTTGAAAGGTCGGTCCAAGATCTGTGTTTTGAGCTGTGCCCCGTTCCGAAGTGCAATAAGTGTACTCGAAAAAAATCTTGCTCTCATAATTCTTCAATGAGCTTGCCTACTGGGCAGTTTTTGAGGAATGAAGACATGATCCCTGCAGCTTTAGATGCATCAACAACCTTATTGAACGACAGCCAAACCAATTTGGACCAGGTTGAAATGATATATCCGAACAGGAGGAATTCCTCCGTCTTGAGTTTGAATATGGCTCTTGGAAGACCATTCTCTCCCTCAAGGAAGAATTCAAGCTATTCGATGAAATATCAAATCTCTCCCCAGTCACCAAACGGTAACATGAACATTACGAACAGCAGTATCAGCAATTCAAATAACAGTACAAACAACAGCAATGCAAGTAACAGCAATGCTAACAGTAGTTCATCTGGAAACAACACTAATGCATCGAATACACAACAACCCACGTCTCCTCCAAAGTTGACTAGCTCTAGATCTTCCCTAAGCTTCTACAGCTATGCTGACATGATAAACACGGATGAATTCGCTAGACGGCCCTCAATTAAGCAGAGCTATAGTAGCCAAGGGTTTACACCTTTAAGCAAAAATTCTTTTGCGAAGAATTCCTTTGCTAAACAAAAATTACCTCCTCAGTCCTCTCAATTGTCAAGACAATTGTCTGGAAAAGATAATGGGATGAATAGCTTACAAAAGTTTTTGATAAGCCCTGAATCCTCAGATGAAGAGCAAGAAAACAATAGTTTGAAGTCAAAAAGAAAGTCCATTTCGTCTGCAGCTTCGAATAATTTAATGAATGATAATGAGAGTTTAATTTCGAGTTCAGTCGGTGATTGCCTTAGAAGAACCACCACTGAAATAAATGGCAACTAATTATGTGAGAAATTGGAGAACCGTTTTCACATCTCTAGTAGTTCGCTATCGAAGAGAAGAGAAAAGAAAAAAAAAATAGGTTCAGTGTGTCTGCTCCTTTATGGAATGGAGCTGTTTTGTTTCATCTGCTTTTTGACCATCGTGGCCACTTTGGAATAGTTCATTTAGTTCATGTGAGATCAGACTTTTTAGCCAAAATTTGTTTAGTATTTAGAGTGTAATGTATAACTAGTTGTAAAAGTTTAACTTGATGTGCTGGTTGGTTCCAGCACGATGTCAGATTTTTACTGTATCAATTTGAAATGCTTGAATTTCTCTAAATTTTCCTTATTAGTCCTTCTGAAAACTGGTTTTATTATTTGCCCCAGTTTCCAGCTAGACTAAATACAGACAAGGCTATTATGTTAACGAACCAATCACCTATAAGGTGAAGCTGAGCTTGGCATATCTTGAAATGTCGTATTTTAAACGACATTTGTTAATGTCATCTCATCACGAAAAACTCTAGAAAATATGCTACTCAAATTGTAACTTAAAGTATAAGCTAAACTAAGCAGTTTTAAGCATAATGATTCGGCGTCAGGCAAGAGAAAGAAGAGAGTATTTGTATAAGAAAGCCCTTGAACTCAAGGAATCAAACTTGTTGGAAAAAAGGCAGCAGCTTAAAGCAGCCCTTGCAAGTGGGCGCCCTTTGTCAAAAGATTTGGCTGAAGACGCACAGCTACAAAAAGATTTCATATATGACGAAAGTGAACAGATAGAGATAGATGATGAATATAGTGCATTGAGTGGCTTAAGAGAGCCTAAAATTATAGTAACTACCTCAAGAAATCCTCTGGTGAAGTTGCTTCAGTTCTCTAAAGAGATGAAGTTGATGTTTCCTAACTCTTTGAAGCTTAATAGAGGTAATTATATCATTCCAGATTTGGTGAAATCTTGTACAAGAACTCAAATCACTGACCTAATAATACTTCATGAACATCGCGGTGTCCCCACGTCGCTAACGATTTCACATTTTCCTCATGGTCCAAGTATAATTTTCACATTGCATAACGTTAAATTAAGGCATGACTTGCCAAATCTTGGAAATATTTCAGAAAGTTACCCTCATTTGATCTTCGAGAATTTCACAACAGAAAAAGGAAAGCGTGTTGTTCAAATCTTGAAGCATTTGTTCCCCCCTGGAGTCAAAAAAGATTCTTCTAGAGTGATTAGCTTTATCAATAATGACGATTTCATATCAGTCAGACACCATATTTATGTGAAGACAAAGGATTCTGTTGAAATAAGTGAAGTCGGACCTCGATTCGAAATGAAGCTATACGAAATCAAGTTAGGCTTACTTGACAATAAAGACGCAGATGTTGAATGGCAAATGCGTAGATTTATAAGAACAGGAAATAGAAAAAACTATTTATAAGAAATGAAAGAAGTGACTGTGGTTTATAAATATAAATATACATACTAAGATGTCGCAACATTATACGATGTCATCTACGTCATCAACGTCAGTGACCTTGTAATGTGGTGTCTCAGGAACCTCGTTTTTTCCTGGTACATGCGAACTGGTAGACTGGGCACCGAAGAAAGATGGCCTTCTTCTTTGCAAGCTTCTTGTAATTGTTCTGGTTAGAAAATTCCCGTCATTTCCAGAATGAGAGTGCCTCATAGTATCCATCGTTTGATGTCTTTGCAAGGCATGATACTGTTGTAACTCATCTCTCTTTCTCATCGCTGCATCTGGTAACATAATTGCACGATCCAAGGTATAAGGTAAACCTCTATGACGACCTCTAATCATCATTGCAATAATAACCAATTTTGAAATAGTATTTAGCTCTCTTGAAAAAGATGAGTTATTAGTGGGATAACCTAGAGACATACCGACAGTTCCATAAGCACTAATAATTTCAAAAAGAATAGTGAAGACGGAAAATCTCAGATCGCCTCGATCTAATTTCCCTCCTTCAGCAATGCATATGATAAATAATCCCAAGAAAATAAACCATAAATCAAAAGACAATTGATTTCTCAAATGCGCTCCTATGAATGATTTTGGTGTTTCCTCCGAATCATCTTTGCTATCATCTTTAAGGTAAACTCCTAATGATTGTTCTTCGTAGACATTTGTTCTTCTGATGGAAATGGCCAAGGGTAAAACAGATATATACATCATAAGCATGTAACTTACTTGTACGGCAGCATGAAGCCGCGCCAAATCAATTACCGTAAAGCCGGCTGTCCTAGTGCAAAACGCTTGAAATAAACCATCAAATACTCTAAATCCGGTTGGAATACTTGATAAGTACTTATTTTTCAAGTCCAATATTATAAACAAAACCCAATCGACACCGTTTAAAACCACCAATATAGAAAATAACCACCATGTGGGCATCGAGGGAAATAATAACGTGAAGCATCTTCTCGGATGGTCCAAAAGAAATCCTAAAGATTCTTTGAATAATGAGAGAGGATGAGAGAACTTGAAAAGTATCCAAATGATAAATCTCAACAAGACGGGGAATCCAGTATTTCCAATGACAATAAAAAAAGACATGATCATCAATATGTAGATAGCATCAGCAAAGCTCGACATAGAATTGCTTGTTAACGTGTAGCCCAAATCATTAAAAGACGAGCTGGCAGTGAAAAAGGCCCACCACGTAGGCGTTATACCTGCTTCTCTCACTATGTTTATATATTGCTTTCTCACCAAGATCCAAGGTAGCAAACAGATCAAAGCAATAACATGGAATCCAATATAATAAATGACTAAAATCTTGATTAATAGCTTAACAGCTCGGTATTCTACCCCCCCAAGCTCGTCTTTTTGCTGATCAGTCATATGTATAAAGGCAGAGTTTCTACCCACAGTGGGAACCCAGGACAAGTAATTAGTACTCATTGTTTTCTTCAAAGAGTGCTTTTCTGATTCCAAGTCTTCTTCGTCAGAATCCGAGTCGATAGAAGAATGTGTTCTATGAAAACTTGGAGAACGTAATTTCCTCAAATGCTTATTTTTTTTCCGTGCTCTGATTATTCTATCGAACGAAGGAGATTTTATAAAATTTGCCTCTTTACCCGGTGCAATATCTAGGGTATTGGCTCGCTTGAAACCCACAACTTCAGGCTCAGCAACAGGTGCTTCGACTTGATTAGTGTGAGCTCTTTTGAAGTTCTTATGATGCTCTTCATTCTCATCATTCGTAGTGTCACCATCAGTGACCGCGTCCTCATCTCCAGTATCGCTCATGCCCTGGAAGCTACTAATATCTTCGTTCGTACCATCAATCGAATGTGACGAATCTGAGCGGGTCTCAGAGTCAATAGACATATTTTCATCCGCCTCCTCGTCATCTCCAATCAGTTGGTCAGTATCCGAATGCTTGAAGCTCTTTCTTCTTGAAGGACTTATAGGAGCACTCGAAAGAGACTTTCTTAGTTTTTCCCATTGTTTGCGCCTAGAGATACTTCTCTTCAGTGGTCGCCTCCATCTCTTTATCGGTTTATCTCCAACTTTAAAGTGGATCTGAGATTTTGTAGTGTAAATAGGATTATGACCACCCTTCTCAATTTCATTAGGTGGCTTAATTATTAAAACATCATCATCATCTCCATTGTCATCATTGTGTGAATGGTGATTAGAATGCCTTTGCTGATTGTTTCTTAACATTGCTATCGACTTGTACATATCGGAAGGATCCACCTCCTTTTTACGTATGTTAGATGGGTGAGGCAAATCACCAAACCTTATCCCTTCAGTCTCCTGGTGAGAAGATAATGGATCTGCCGAAGAAAGATCGGACGGAGACGAAGGTCTTTTATTTCGTTCAGTTGGATTATCGTCTTGGTCATTATTCTGAATACCGGCTGCAACATTATTATCATTACTGTTTTCGCTGCTATCAGTCAGCTTGGGAACAGTTGATGAAGATTGAGGAGTGCTATCATTATTATCCAAAACGCTATCAATCGTTGCACCATTATAATGAGAACCTGGTAGACCCAAAATTCTGTTACTTGCAGTATTTCTCGTCGTTGCAGCAGGCATATCTCCTCTTGCTGCTAGCGTTGCAGATCTTCTCATTTTAAAGTTCAATTTCGAGGTTACTTTGATGTCGTCAAACTGTCTTTCGAACCAGTAGAGTCTCACAAATAAGAGAGATCCGTGGATGAATATGGGTGTAGTGAAAATACATACAACATAAATGACAATTTGCTGATATAGGTCGATGTTATTAAGATCAATAGTGTTGAGACCAGACTGTGTTGCTGCACCAGCCGCAAGGAATAGTGCGTCAATATATGGGATGTTTTTCACTGGATAAATTAATACTGATGCTAAGAAAGTCATCGTGATGATATAAAAATAATGCACTGCTTTGAAATTCGGGAGAATAATTCTAGCATAAGGATAAATGAGTTTTCCAAGTCGGTGAATATAATCTCTTGAAGTTGTACCCCATCCAACATCCAACGTGCTTGACGATTTAAGATGTCGAGATTTTAGTCTGTCTATCAACCTAACCATCGTGTTTGATGTTTTTAATATGAAGGGTAACGATACCTAATGCTAAAATTTTTTAATCTATTTCTTCAAATTTCGTATAATATATTACTTTTGGTTCCCTTTGATGTTATTAGCTTTTAAAACTTCCACTTGTGTATGCTTACTTGACCGTATGAATAAAACTTTTTTAAAAAAAAAGGAAAGCAGGGAAGCTTTACGCACAAAGTACAGAGGAGCAAAGACCCTCTTTCTTTATTAAATGATAACAAAAGGATTAATATGATGTACAGAAATGGTCCATGTAATTTATATTTTCACTACGAACTTCAACCTATAATTTCAACTGTAAGTAGATGTAGTGGTTTTGTGTCACAGAGGATTTTTTATCAACCCTGACAGCAAGCACCCTAGCCGCACTACGGAAAGTAGCGGAGTGTCTCCCTAAGAGACTATAGAGAGAGTAGGAGTTAGAGAACAAAAACTGTGGATATGGATTAGCTCGAAAAATATGAGTGAGAATAGGATTGAAGCTTCCAAGTTTTTTAATTTAAAATCAGTTATCACATCGTGGCTAAGCTGTGGAAGTATGACAAAATTATACCGACAGTTTTCAAATGTCAGCTGGTGTCTAGGATTGAACAAGAAATGACTGCATCTTACTCTGAGAGGATTCCTGCAGTTTAAAACCAAATGGTAGCGCGAAAGAGCTGACCTCATCCTAGCTACTTCTGAAAATCGAGACTTAAAACCAAGAATCGGGCTGAAAAACGTGCGAAGAGCATATTAAATAATATATATCCGATACGGACCCGGTAACAAACCGAGGCGTATATTTGAAAATTTTTTTTCAAGATCGCTTCAGTCTTATTATAAATATAACACACTATGCCGCAGCCCTTGGGTTATAATGTCATTTCTCTCTTCCTTCTTCCTTCTCTTTCTCAACAGTCTTCAGATTCATATCATCGTTGTATTTGACTGATTGGAACTAGATTTAGGCATCTCGGTGACAGCAGAAGTAAGTCTAATGAATAATGACGCGCTCTACGGGATGTGAACTTGATGAGTGTTGAGAAAGAGAAGGAACGATTGTAATAATAAAGCTTTATTTGCGTCTCTAAGCACACATTAAAATGATCCAGCTCTTCATAAATCATTAAAAGAAGAACGTATTGTCAATACAGAGTGACGTCACAACGATGACGGACAGCAAGAGCATCAGGATGCTCTCCCCATCGCAGAATTTTTTTTTTTTTTTTTTTAATTTTTTTTATTGAAGAAAGATCAAATTTTCAGGCTAGCAGATTTCCTCATCTCATCTCATCTCATCTCCTAGACAGTTTATTCTTGATACTAACAATTCTAGAATAGTATTTGCTATCATTCAAACATTGGTATTTTAATTCTCCCCCAAATTAAGATACCGTTAATCTTTTCTAGAACTGTGTTAAGTATTGCAGGAAAGTCAGTGTAATAGAAACTGTTAGATAGAGAAGACGATGGCTAAATTATCAGCACCGATCACTCCACCAATGGAATCTACAGGGGACCGTGTCATGGTTCTTGAGACACACGATGGTATCTCCTTGGAAGGATATTCATTTGGTGCTCCTGTCACAGCAGCTGGTGAAGTAGTCTTTCAAACTGGTATGGTTGGATATCCAGAATCGATTACAGATCCATCTTATGAGGGTCAGATCTTGGTCATAACTTATCCATTAGTAGGAAACTATGGTGTACCAGATCGCTCAGTGATGGATGAAGATGTTCCTGAAATCCCAAAGTATTTTGAATCTAATAAAATACATATTGCTGGTTTAGTGGTTGCTCATTACACCGAAGAGTATTCCCACTATCTTGCTAAGTCATCATTAGGACAATGGTTACGGGAGCAAGGTATTCCAGCTATTTATGGTGTTGATACTAGGGAATTGACTAAGAGACTCAGAGAAGAAGGTTCAACTTTAGGTAGGTTAGCTTTACAGAAATCTTCTGTCAAAGCTGAAGATCTCTTGTCTGCTCATCTTAATTGGCCATTATACGCTGATGTACCTGAATGGGACGATCCGAATGTCAAAAATTTGGTGGCCAAAGTATCTACTAAGAGCCCCGTTTTATATTCACCAAAAGGAGATATCAAGGTTAAGAAGAATGGAAAGACTCTTAGAATTTTGGCTCTCGATGTTGGTATGAAGTACAATCAAATCCGTTGTTTTGTCAGGCGTGGTGTTGAATTATTGGTTGTTCCCTGGGACTACGACTTTACTAAAGAAGAATACGATGGATTGTTTATCTCTAATGGACCAGGTGATCCTTCGGTCATGACTGAAACTGTGTCTAAGTTAAGAACTGCTCTTAAAGAGGCCAAAACCCCGATATTTGGTATCTGTTTGGGACATCAATTGATGGCTAGGGCTTCTGGTGCCGCAACTTTAAAATTGAAATTTGGTAATCGTGGTCATAATATTCCATGCACCTCAACCATTTCTGGTCGCTGCTATATTACCTCTCAGAATCATGGTTATGCTGTTGACTCAAATACTTTGACTGATGGCTGGAAGGAATTATTCGTTAATGCTAATGATGGCTCAAATGAAGGTATTTATCACGATTCCAAGCCATTTTTTTCCGTTCAATTTCATCCAGAGTCTACACCAGGTCCAAGGGATACAGAATTTTTATTCGATGTCTTTATAAACTCGGTTCTTGAACATAGCATCCTCAAAACACTCAAGGCTATTGAATTTCCTGGTGGAAAGTTGGAGGAAAACCTTGCCAAGCATCCAAGGGCTGAGGTAAAGAAAGTATTGGTTTTGGGATCAGGTGGTCTTTCGATTGGTCAAGCTGGAGAGTTTGATTACTCAGGATCTCAAGCCATAAAAGCATTGAAAGAGGAAGGAATTTACACGATCTTGATAAATCCAAACATTGCCACTATTCAAACTTCTAAAGGTCTTGCAGACAAAGTTTACTTTTTACCTGTTACTCCAGATTTTGTCAGAAAGGTCATTCAATACGAGCGTCCTGACGGTATTTACTGTACCTTTGGTGGTCAAACTGCTTTGAACGTTGGTATCAAATTGAAGGATGAATTTGAAGGATTGGGTGTTCAGGTATTAGGAACTCCTATTGACACTGTCATCACAACAGAGGATAGAGAACTCTTTGCTAATGCAATGGAAGAAATTGGAGAAAAATGTGCTAAGTCTGAAGCGGTCAACAATGTTCAAGAAGCTATTCAAGCAGCAAATAATATAGGATATCCATTAATCGTTCGTGCAGCTTTTGCATTGGGAGGTTTGGGATCTGGTTTCGCTGACAATGAAAAGGAATTGGTTACATTATGTAACAAAGCTTTCGCTACTTCACCTCAAGTATTGGTTGAAAAGTCAATGAAGGGATGGAAGGAAGTTGAATATGAAGTTGTAAGAGATGCTTTCGACAACTGTATTACGGTCTGTAATATGGAAAACTTTGATCCTTTAGGTATCCATACGGGTGATTCTATCGTCGTTGCACCTTCTCAGACTTTGTCAGACGAAGATTATAATATGTTACGTACTACTGCGGTCAATGTTATTAGACATTTGGGTGTTGTTGGTGAGTGTAACATTCAATATGCATTGAATCCATTCTCGAAAGAATACTGTATTATCGAAGTTAATGCCAGATTATCACGCTCCTCTGCTTTAGCTTCAAAGGCAACTGGTTATCCATTAGCCTATACTGCTGCCAAGTTAGGTTTAAATATTCCTTTGAACCAAATCAAGAATTCTGTTACTAAATCGACTTGTTCGTGTTTCGAACCATCTTTGGATTATGTTGTTGTTAAGATTCCTAGATGGGATTTGAAAAAATTTACTAGAGTTTCTGCTTTATTGTCATCATCTATGAAATCCGTCGGTGAGGTTATGGCCATTGGAAGAACATTTGAAGAAGCAATCCAAAAGGCAATAAGGTCTACAGACTATCAAAACCTCGGTTTCAACAAGACTTCTGCACTTATGTCCATTGATATTGACAGCGAGTTGCAGACTCCATCCGATCAACGTCTTTTTGCTATTGCAAACGCTTTATCTGATGGATATTCTGTGGAAAGAGTTTGGGAATTGACAAACATTGATAAATGGTTTTTGAATAAGTTGGATGGTTTAATCAAGTTCGGTAACAAAATCTCTTCTTATGGAAAGAAAGAAAACTTACCAATTTCAATTATGAGACAAGCAAAACAACTTGGTTTCGAAGATAGACAAATAGCCAAGTTCTTGAACTCTAATGAGGTCGCAATTAGAAGATTGAGAAAAGAAGCAGGAATCATTCCATTCGTCAAACAGATTGATACTGTTGCAGCTGAATTTCCTGCTTACACTAATTACTTGTATATCACTTATAATGCTGATGCTTCTGATGTTTCCTTTGATGATCACGGAGTCATTGTTTTGGGTTCAGGTGTTTACCGTATTGGTTCTTCTGTGGAATTTGATTGGTGTGCAGTGAGAGCAATCAGAACATTACGTGAAAATGGAACTAAGACCATCATGATAAACTACAATCCAGAAACTGTTTCAACAGATTATGACGAAGCTGATAGATTGTACTTTGAAACTATTAACCTCGAGAGAGTCTTAGATATTTATGAGTTAGAGCAATCATCTGGTGTAATTATCTCAATGGGTGGTCAAACCTCAAATAATATTGCCCTTCCATTGCATCGTCAAAACGTCAAGATTTTAGGTACTTCTCCTGAAATGATCGATTCTGCCGAAAACAGATATAAATTTTCCAGAATGTTGGATAAAATAGGGGTTGATCAACCAGCATGGAAAGAATTGACCTCTATTGAGGAGGCAGAGGAGTTTGCGGATAAGGTAACATACCCTGTTTTAGTCAGACCATCCTATGTTTTGTCTGGTGCTGCTATGAACACAGCTTATTCAAAAGATGATTTATCATCATATTTATCCCAAGCTGTTGACGTTTCTCCAGATTATCCTGTTGTTATCACGAAATATATCGAAAATGCAAAAGAAATTGAGATGGACGCGGTAGCAAAGGATGGTAAGATGATAATGCATGTGGTATCTGAACACGTAGAAAACGCTGGAGTTCATTCTGGTGATGCTACTTTAATCGTTCCGCCCCAGGATTTGGAGGCAGAAACCGTTAGAAGAATTGTCGAAGCTACTGCTAAGATTGGAAAAGCTTTAGACATAACTGGTCCTTATAACATCCAGTTTATTGCCAAAGATAATGACATAAAGGTCATCGAGTGTAATGTTCGTGCCTCTCGTTCCTTCCCATTTGTTTCTAAGGTTGTTGGTACGGATTTGATTGAAATGGCAACCAAGGCAATTGCTGATATACCTATTGTACCGTATCCAGGAGAAAAGTTACCTGAAGACTACTGTGCTGTTAAGGTTCCTCAATTCTCATTCTCACGTTTGGCTGGAGCTGATCCAGTTCTAGGAGTTGAAATGGCTTCTACAGGAGAAGTTGCTACCTTTGGTAAAAACAAGTACGAGGCATATTTGAAATCATTAATTTCAACAGGCTTCAAGCTACCAAAGAAAAATATTTTGTTTTCAATTGGATCTTATAAGGAGAAGCAAGAGCTATTACCTTCGATAAGGAAATTGCATGAGCTTGGGTTTAAAATTTTTGCTACTGCTGGAACGGCTGACTTCATTAAAGAGCATAGCATCCCAGTTCATTACTTAGAAGTTTTGAGCCAAGAGGAGAACCAAAAATCTGAGTATTCTTTAACTCAGCATTTAGCAAATAACTTGATTGATTTGTATGTGAATTTACCATCTGCTAATCGATTCCGTCGTCCAGCATCTTATATGTCAAAAGGGTACGAATCTCGTCGTATGGCGGTCGACTTCTCGATCCCTCTTGTTACTAATGTGAAGTGTGCTAAGTTGCTTGTTGAAGCTATCACGAGAGTCACTTCTTTTGATGTGACTAAAATAGATGCTCAAACGTCTCATAGAACTGCTGTTCTTCCTGGATTAGTCAATATCACCACATTTGTGCCTTCATTTGATGATATTGAAGTGGTGACCAAGAGATCCTTGGCAGCAGGTTTCACATTTAATGCATTTTTACCCCAAACAACTCAAGGTTCCAGCGTAATTGATTTTGATACTTTAGCTGACACTATCGATTTAGCTTCTGGTAATGCTTACACTGACTTCTCCGTATCGATTGCGGCTTCGGAAACAAACGCAGAGGAGGTGGCTGATGCAGCTGATAACGCTGGTGCATTATTTTTACCTTTTAACGTCTTTGCAAACTCTAAGGTCTCAGCAATATCGTCTCATTTTGCCTCATGGCCAGAATCCAAGCCGATTATCACGGACGCTAGGACAACAGACTTAGCATCTGTATTATTGTTGGCATCTTTGCATAATAGATCAATCCATGTCACTGGAGTTTCTTCAAAAGAAGACTTAGAATTAATAAGAATGGCAAAAGGCAGGAACTTACAGGTAACGTGTGATATTTCTGTTTTTGCTATGTTCTTAACAAGAAATCAGTTCCCTAACTGTCCACAGTTGCCATCTGATGATGATCAAGCATTCTTGTGGAAGAATTTGGTTGATGTTGATTGTTTTTCAATTGGTGTTTTACCATACGTAGTAAGCAGAGCCAGTGGGAAATTCATTGCCCCAGGATCCGAAATATCTGAAACTTTGCCATTATTATTTACTGCTGTGAAAGCCGGCCATCTTACTATTGATGATATAATTGAAAAGTTTCACGACAATCCAATCAAGATTTTCAACCTTCCAAAGCAAGATGCAACTGTTGAGGTTGATTTAGACAGATTTGTGGCACAAAGCACATCTTCAATCTATCCATTCCTTGGGCAGAAAGTTAATCAAGGATCAGTCGATAGAGTGTCTTTCCATAACGAGACTGTTTGTTTGGATGGTGTGATGTTAGCTCAATCAGCCTTGGGTAAGAATGGTGTCGAATCAAGGAGTAGATTCAGTCCTGTTGCAAATGTTCCTCAGTCACCTACTTTAACTAGGAAATCAAGAGTATCCTTTTCTACAGATATTCGTCGTCCTTCATTTTCTAGGGAGTATCAAACAACAGAAGAGATTGAGAAACTGGGCTCTGAATTGGTTTCTCAGCCACCAACGAGCTTGGGTGAAGTAAATGCATTGGTGAACTATATCAGAAATCATAACTCTTTCTTGAGAAACTCTGTATTGTCTGTCAAAGATTTTACGAGGTCTGATTTGCACGCTTTATTCACCGTTGCTCAAGAAATGAGGTTGGCAGTGGAAAGACAAGGTGTTTTGGATGTCTTGAAAGGAAGAGTACTTGCGACAATGTTTTATGAGCCCTCAACTAGAACTTCATCATCATTTGATGCAGCAATGCAGAGATTAGGTGGAAGAGTTGTTGCTGTTGCAGCAGGCTCTTCTTCAGTAAAAAAGGGAGAAACCTTGCAGGATACCATAAGAACATTGGCATGTTATGCTGATGCAATAATCTTGAGACACCCTTCTGAAGACTCTGCTGATATTGCAGCTAAATATTCCCCAGTTCCAATTATCAATGGTGGTAATGGGTCTAAGGAGCACCCAACTCAAGCATTGTTGGACTTGTTTACAATCAGAGAAGAATTGGGAACAGTAAACGGCATAACTGTTACTTTCATGGGTGACTTGAAGTATGGAAGGCCAGTACATTCTTTGTGTCACTTGCTTCGTCATTATCATGTCAGAGTACAATTAGTTTCACCAAAAGAATTATCTTTACCGGAGAGCATTAGGGACATGTTAGAAAGTAATGGCATGATTGTTGCTGAATCTGAAACTTTAACGGAGGACATCTTAGCCAGATCAGATGTGTTGTACTGCACTAGAGTGCAAGAAGAAAGATTTTCCGATAGAAACCAATACTTAAGATTAAAAGACACTTACATTGTGGATAACAAAATTTTATCACGGGCAAAACAACATATGTGTGTTATGCATCCGTTACCAAGAACCAATGAGATTCACGAAGAGGTAGATTTTGACCAAAGAGCTGCGTACTTCAGACAAATGAGGTATGGGTTGTTTGTCAGAATGGCCTTGTTGGCAATGGTTATTGGTGTTGATTTTTAATCACAGCTATGTTATAGCGTATTCTATGTTGCTTGCTTTAAACGAACAGATTGAAGCCTAAAAAAACTCTTTAGACTATCATGGAAGACACTATCAGATATTCGGGGGAAAATTTGATTACTACTTTCATGTCACTTGTTATTAGAATTGTTTTATACTAAATAGTTATTCAATCAATTATTTTAATGAAAATCGGTGAATGATGGAATTGACTTCGTAATAAAACGACTCATATACTATACAGATGGAAAATTTTTGCCTATAAACGTAATTTGTTTAGTTTTCTTTGAAAAACATGCTAGTGTCACCGTTGGATCTATTACTGCCTTGAAGGTCCGTGTTTTTGTTTGAATTTGGATTATTATGCTCTTGATTACGACCGTGGACATCTTCATTAGCCTGAATTAATGCTCTAGCGATCTCTATTTCGTCACCACCAGAACCAACATTATGATCAAAGGCGCTCACTTCTGGATCAACAGGTATGTCATTATTATTGGAATTACGATGATGCTTATTATCATCTTGTCGAGAGGTGCTTGGATCATCATGTTCGTATTCATGGTGATTAGTGTATTCATTCTGGTAGTCTTGATAGTGATTTGGCCCTGATACAGCTGCAGCCGCAGCTGCAGCATAGCTTGGATGGGTTTGTTGATTATGATGTTGATTTTGATGCGATCTTTGTGCTTCTTCAACAGCCGCAATGATATTATCGTCCAAGCCGGACAAGTCGTGTCCTAATAAACTCTCCGTATCATGCCTATGTGACGGTAAGTTATGCAACTGAGCAGCAGCAACGATCGCTTCTACGTCATCATGATTGGACCTCGCTCTAATTGAGCGAGCGTTCGGGTTATTTGGCTGTGAATTCAAAACTTTATTGTTCCTATCCCTAATCAGGATACCCGTGGCCATTTTCTTAGGAATTGAAGAGCGTTTAATCAATGGTGCCTCCTTTGACAGATCTCTACATTCTGGACAGTTTTTTATTGCCGTCGCGACGGTATCTTTGATTCGAGTCCAGTGATATTTCTCCGTTACAACAGCAGTCGTCTTGTTGATACCACCATGATTTGACATATGTACTTCGGTACATATCTGCAACTGTCTTACTGGATCACTAATCACTTCTCTTCCTTTGAGCATTAGTTTACCATTCTCAATTCTATAGTGGGATGCCGAAGATCGTAATCTTGATTTTTCTTGTCTATCTGCCATAGCAGGATATCTACCAGTCTCTAAATAGAATTTGATCTTATCAAAACGATAAGCCCCAATAGCAGGATCTGAGTTATTTATAAGCTCCCTTCCATACATAATGGCATCAACGGCTGTGTCATGTCCCTTTAAAATACCTGCAGATTTCACCCTTCCTACTCTTTTGAAGTTTAAAGACTCCCAAATACGTCTAGCAGCAACGTTGGTTTCAAAAACCAAATTGAAAATTGAATAACTATATCCAAGCTTCGGAGCCCATTGTAAGTAGCAATCAGTCAACGTTCTCCCTATTCCTTTTCCTCTGATACCCGCATTCACTAAGAAACTACCAGTACAAATGTGAGAACAACGACCTGGGTAGTTTGGCTTGATGAAAAATGTTCCTAAGCATTCCTTCTCCCATTGTCTGGAGCCCTCTAAGGTTGTTGAGTCACCTAAAACCATAACAGCTGCAAAAGCTCCAAACCAATAGTTTTGGAACTGCTCTATATGTAAAGTATCAAAAAATGGATATGTATCTCCTCTTTCAATCTCCATATTAAACTCATCACAAAGAAATGCCAAAAGTCCTGGTGGTAACTCGTTAGATGTCAGTATCGGATATATAGTGGCAGTTGTTTCTCCATCTTTCAACAATACGGTGTAGCGGTCAATAACCGTTACTGGGTTATATTCGAGTGGAGACCTGTAATGGGACAGCTGCATAACATCATCAAACTCAGGCATCTTCCAATATTTGATTTTCAAGAGACTCTATAATATTTATATTTGAATGTCTATATCTCTTATAAAGTGTAGATATTATACTGTCTGTGTATTTTTTGGAATGTAAATAACAACAGATGGGGGCGAGATGTAGTTGATCTTTCAAAACACCTTTTTTTTTGTGTATCTAATATGTCGTGCAAGTTACACGACATTAGCGTCTTTACGACACCGCTTAATGAATATCAATGGTTGTTAGGCTTTTTCCAAACATATATGCACCCACTAATTTGTCATGACCCTTCAATACAGCTACATCTTTGACATAACCAATACGATCAAATCCAAGATTATCCCATATTTTTAAACTTGCTAAGTTTGTTTCAAACACCAAATTGAACACGGAGTACGCGTAACCCAACTTCGGAGCCCATACTAAATATTTTGCACCTAATTCTTTTCCAATGCCTAGCCCCCTTTTCTTGTGGTTTACAATAAACCCAGCATTACATGTATGAGAACATCTGCCAACGTAATTGGGCTTAACATAGAAAGTGCCAAGAAAGCTTTCTTTCCACCACTCAATCAGCTTGTCTTGAAGTTCTCTATCTTCAAGAGATTCGTAAGAACCCGAAATTAGAATTGCAGCGAACGCATGAAACCAATAGTCGACAAATTGCTCGAAATCAAGTCGCTCATAATAAGGATATGTCAATCCTTCATCAATCACGTAGTTAACTTCCTCTTGGACTACTTTGAGTAAGTTCTTCGGTACGGTTTTTGAATCGTGAACGGGAAAGAGAGTCACCTTTTCAGATGGTTCTTTTTCAAGCTCAAAGGTTATCGGCTCTGTGATTTTAGGAGTAGTTTTGAATTTTCCATCTGCAAATGGTAACGTCTGTAATACTTCAAATGGCAATGTCATTGTGCTAGACGAGATATGGCGAAAGTTGTAAATTCCTATAAGATATCAGCTTGAGAACATAAAGTGATTAAAATTATTAATTGGATTCGCCAGCGTTGTTGAATGCTGATTATAGGAGCGCCTGCTGGGAACTTCACCCCGTTTCTACAAGTCTATCTTTTTATTCCAGATTTATTTGGTGCATGGACACTACCTTAAGTTTATTACGTTTTGATGAGCCGATTAAGGTTATCTGTTTCCGAGAGTCAATGGAAAACTCGAGCAAGCTCAATAAAAGGATTTCGAAATATCAGTATGGACGATAGCAAAAGAAATGGAATAATGAGCGAGAGTAAGTAGCATTCTAACCAGTATCAATCTAATTAAGTCAATATTCAACTTGAAAAGTTGTAGAATGAGAGTTTCGTGACAAATACTAACGAAACAATAGGTCTAAGTAAGAGAGACAAAAAACGTCAACAAATAGGCTCTCGTCTAGACAAGTTGGAAATAGCATTTTTTAATGACAGAGACAGTTTTTATAGGGCTTCGTTACATAACTTGCAAAATGCGTTAGCTACGTTGCAACAGGGTACAAACGAAGATTTTTTAGAGAAAAAGCAAGACTTAGAAGAACAACGAGACTACGAATTAACTAGATTAAGGCTCTGGGAAGAATATAGGGTAAAACGCATAGACGAGGAGTATCGAGAAGATCTAGGAAAAGCCAAGGAGAATCACGACAAAATGATAAAACTCATAAAAGAGAAGCTCTATGACAAGCTTCAAAAACAGATCAAGCAACTAAAAGAAGATAAGCTACTACTCAATCTTGTGAATGCTAATTCATGGAATTCTGTTAATCTAAATGATTCTGCCATAGCAGCTTTGAATTCTGCGACTGGCAGTTTAACTGATAGGCGTTCTCTTAGGAAAAGAGAGATAAGCTCTAGGTTTACTACAGGGGAAATCGATGATCTCTCTGATAGTGGGATAGGAAATTCAACGACAGCTGCCGAAATGCTTTCAGGTGCTGGATACGGCTCAGGCTCATCTGCAACCAATGGTAACAAACGAAGAAGGTTTTATGCGACTCGATATTCCTCAAATGACGAAAACAACGGTGGTAGTCACTCTCATCATAGAACTGGGAACGGCCACAGCCAAGTGAGCAGCGGTAATGAATCAAATTTAAGTGACAAAGACTACGATGCATTGAACAGTCTAATAATGAATGATGAAGGAAATGGAATGTCATCAGTATTATTAGAACAAGATAGCAATGGCCATAGAATGAATACAAGAGGCTCTCATAAACAATTTACTGGTCCTCAAGGGTTAAAGCCAGAGGAATTACATGAAGATTTAGCACTAATAAGAAATGCAATAGTTAAGAAAGAATAACAATTGAGAAGATAGGACATGACAGGACAAGTTCATTCATACAAAATTAATATCAATATACACATGCATAGCTAGCCATAATCATCTTTATTGGCTCTTATCTTAGGCATTTTCAGTTCTCAATATATATCAAGCTAAATAAAGTAGTAAACCATAGTGAAGTGCGCACAGATAATTATTTTAGAGCCAGAAATGAACATACTTAGTAGGCATTAGATTACTTCGACACATTACTAAGGCAATATTGTGAACAATCGTGTTTACAAGAATTAAGATAGAAGCTGAAATACCAATACCAAGTTATTTATTTTCCCGATGGACTTCTTTTTTCTTGTTAAAGCATAAAGTAAGAGTCTAGATGACAAACAGAAACAGATTCAGTTTGGGAAACGATGAATATCTGGGAACTTATTCATATGCTAATGAAGGCATATGTAATGAAGGCATATGTAATGATGACATTGAAAAACACCTTCCAAGCAAGTATGTCAACAGGAAAGAAGAAACTTATCCATGGAAAAATTTGGCAAAGGACTTTAAGCTTAAATTTCAGCGGTTAAGGCGATCTTCGAATATTTGGTTCGTGCTATGCATACTGACTATGCTTGGTTTTTTTCTACTAGGTTCTTTCCACAATATTCTGCTTCTGTATTATATTGGTAATAAAAAAGAGAAATTGAGCGAGACTTTCATTTCTTCACCTATCGATGCACCTTTTCAAATAGGTTGCAGAGAGCCTGACATAGATCACCCGAGAGCCAATGCTGCGTTTGTCGTTTTGGCTAGAAACTCTGAATTAGATGGAGTTGTCAGATCAATGATATCATTAGAGAGGCATTTTAATCAATGGTTCAATTATCCCTGGGTCTTCTTGAACAATGAGTTATTCACAGATGAATTCAAAGACATCGTACAAAAATATACTACTTCCAAGGTAGAATTTGGATTAATTCCACCAGAGCAATGGCAATTTAGAAGTGATGTTGATAAGAATGAGATTAGAGAAAGTATTGAAAGTCAAGGTGATCGAACAATTTTGTATGGTAATATGGAATCGTATCATAAGATGTGTCGATTTTATTCTGGAGCTTTTTACAAGCATGATTTGGTTAAAAAGAGAGACTGGTACTGGAGAGTTGAACCAGACGTCGAATTTTTTTGTGATTTGACTTATGATCCGTTTGTGGAAATGGAAAGGCACGATAAAAAATATGGCTTCAATGTCATGATTACAGAATTATATTATACTGTCCCTGGATTATTCAGAGAAACTCAAGCTTTTATAAAGAAGAATGGCGTCAATGTTAAAGGGGCGTGGGATTTGTTTGTCAGCAACTCAAAGTACGTTATTGGAGAAAATAAGAATTTGTATGATGGGTTGTCCAACAAAAGGGAGGTTTTAGATGAAATCGAGAGAAATATAAATTTGAAAGAATTCTTACAACAAAAGGGCAAGAAGGATAATGACGTGGCTGAGTTGAATACAGATATTTTACATCAATTGTTTAAAAAATCAAAGAGACCAACATTGTATGAAGATAGAATAGATGGAGAAGAATATAATTTATGTCATTTTTGGTCAAACTTCGAAATCGCTAGAACAGATTTGTTTAACTCACCGGAGTATCAAGCATATTTTGAGCATCTAGATGAAAGTGGAGGCTTTTATAGGGAACGATGGGGAGATGCTCTGATACATTCATTAGCAGTTGGAATGATGCTAGACTTGAAGGATGTCCATTATTTTAGAGACATTGGATACAAACATTCTGTTTTGGGTCATTGTCCAGCGAATTCAATTGATAATCAATTAAAATACTCTCCTGCGAAGCAATTCAGCTATAAAGGACCAACCGAGCTGATGCGGTCACATCCACAAAAAGGCACAAAAAATGGAGTAGGCTGTAGATGTGTGTGTCCGTATAGACATAAAGAGATTGAGAATTCTGGGTTTTGTCTTCAAAGATGGAAATCACATACTAGGGAAGGCTTCAAGACATTCCAACCTTTAGATTTAAATCGTTGGGAGCGAAGAATAGAAAAACGAATCAAAAGGCATCTAGCAGAAGGAGGAAAGATCGGATCCAAAAAAGTAGTGGATGATCTTATATGAGGCCTACAAATTTGTACTTTAATAACATATATTGAAACTAATATTATACACTGGTCTAACCACCGAAACCATACAAGGTTCTACCTTGTCTCTTCAAAGCGTAAACGACATCCAAAGAGGTAACTGTCTTTCTCTTAGCGTGCTCTGTGTAAGTAACAGCATCTCTGATAACGTTTTCTAAGAATGACTTCAAAACAACTCTGACTTCTTCATAGATCAATGCAGAAATACGTTTGACACCACCTCTTCTAGCCAATCTTCTGATGGCTGGCTTTGTAATACCTTGGATGTTATCTCTCAAGATCTTTCTGTGACGCTTGGCGCCACCTTTTCCTAAACCTTTTCCTCCTTTTCCTCTACCGGACATTTTATTTAACGATAACTAAAATAATTCCAAATATCTTAAACGGGACCAGCTTTCTATTTATGTTCCCCTGCAACGACACGTTATTCAAAAGCACTGCACTGAAACTCTGCTTCTTGCTGCCAGAATAATAAACAATATGTGAGATCAAAACAGAGAGATCCAGAAATGCGACATTGGTTCGCGCAATTCACAGCACGGGGAGCGATGGCATCTGCAGTAATGGCACCGACCAGCGGAGCTTAAATGGCGGCTGCTTGTCGCATTTCTTAGTCTAAATGATCGCAATCGTTGTCTTGTCGCGCTTGGAAACCTAGCATGTCGCGCAATTTATTCTTTTCAGCAGTACCAAACTTATCCACTAGATGCGTATTTTATAGCACTGCAACAACGAAGTATCTTTAGCAGAAGACGCTATGTTTACTCGCGCGAGGTTGCAGCTTTTTGGCTGCTTCAGTTACGAATCACCCTTCTCTAGCGCACCTGCTATAGCCACCTGTTCTCATTTATTCTAACTAGTCTGAGTATACCACAGTACACTCAGTCGCGAGACTCGCTATATTCTCTTACCTGCGTATCTCTTGCTTGGCCTCACCTAGTATATAATAACACTGGCTACCGGTATTTTCAACATTTATTTTAAGCACTAACATCAAAAATGGCTAGAACAAAGCAAACAGCTAGAAAGTCTACTGGTGGTAAAGCACCAAGAAAACAATTAGCCTCCAAGGCTGCAAGAAAGTCCGCTCCATCAACTGGAGGTGTCAAGAAGCCCCACAGATATAAGCCTGGTACCGTCGCTTTGAGAGAAATCAGAAGATTCCAAAAGTCTACTGAGTTATTGATCAGAAAGTTGCCATTCCAAAGATTGGTCAGAGAGATTGCTCAAGATTTCAAGACTGATTTGAGATTCCAATCTTCAGCTATTGGTGCTTTACAAGAATCTGTCGAAGCTTACTTAGTTTCTCTTTTCGAAGACACTAACTTGTGTGCTATTCACGCAAAGAGAGTCACCATCCAAAAGAAAGATATTCAATTGGCTAGAAGATTAAGAGGTGAAAGATCTTAGGTATTTTTCCCTTTGTATATTAGTAACATAATAAATGTTTATTTTATAAAGGCGTTCTGTATAGTGTAATTTCAGTATCTCAATATGGAATTCGTGAAATTTGTGTAGCAATTACATCTAAAAAAATTAAAAGGAAGGTATCATCACTGCTGATCAATGTCATTTGAGGAAAAGAGGGCCCAATTGTTCAGCATCGGGGAGCAGCTTTCTGGGTCTCCATACCCAGCATGGGTACTTGGTGCTACGCTTTTATCTAAAGGTTTGCTTGTTTCGCGACCAATGTCCTATCCGCTGGGCACTTCTGGAGGCTCTTTCAAGTTGCATCAAAAATTGGTAACAGCAAAGCCTACAAGGGCATCATGTCTCACATTTGGCGTGGCTCAGATGCTTGGTGGCTGGATTATTTATGATGGCGATGTTAGTAATGGGGCCGGTTTTACTTTTGCGTGGTCAACTCTTTATCTTCTTGTAAACGGAAAATCTAGTTTACATAGCTTCTTTAAGGGAAGAGTTAGTCCATTGGGCATCGGCTTGCTAGCCGTCGGAAATGCTACGATTTATGGGAAAAGGTTTTTTTGGCCTTAGTATATGAACAATAATATATGACTTTATATTTGACACGTAATTGTCTCTATAATAATCAGTCCCAAGGAATAGGTAAAAGGTTCCTTTCATTGCAATAATCAAGAAGTTCCGTCTCATCGTAGAGTTCTATAAACTGCTGATCCATTTGCCTCTCTTTTGGCGCAGCAAACTTTCTGTATTCGTCAAAGATTATAGTGAAGGACCATTTTTGTAATTTTCTCAAAACACCAACTAAACAGCCGGTTCGGTGCTTTCCTCGATTGCAATGTATTAATATGGGTTGATTTTCCGGGTTTAATACTATTTTTATTGCCTCAGTGACCAATTGAGGACTAATTTTCACAAACGGCTCTTTGTTTCCAGACATTCCTAGCTGAAATAGTTCTATGTTTTGCTCTTTGAAAAAATCCAAATGCTGCTGGGGATATTCCTCTGGAATCAAACATAAGATTGATTTTAGCTTGAGCCTCTTGAGTACAGGAAAGTTCTGTGGTTGGGGAAATGAAGACCTATAGATTTTATTGATAACTGGAGCAAAATTCTCAGGTGGAGTTAGTGGTTGTTTATCATAAAAGTTGAAGTCTTTGCTCTCTTCATCAATTTTGGCTTGGGTGTCATAGTCAAACTTGTCATCTATATCCTCTTCGTAAGTCCGCTCCTCTGCATTATCTTCTGGGTCGTTATCCATATCACTTCTATTTCCAATCTTAAATTGGGATAATCTTGATCGTATTACATCAGCATCATTATACATTTTTGAGTCCGCCATGTCTGAATATCGAGGAGTGATATCATTTTGAATATTAGACCATCTTGGAACATCACTGACTACTTCAGATAGTTTATTTTCTGCAAGATCCTCATCCATTTGGAAAGGATCATTTGAGTAATCTGCCATTGGCCCCTAGATAATCAATTGGGAAATATATTTTTAAAGATATAAAATTTTCTTGAAAACTGTAATGAATTACTGTTTAGCTTTCAATATCGTATACTGTCCATCGTTTAAACTTTCAAATTCACTTAGGAAAAATATAACACTGTTCAAATTCTTTAATACTGGCAAAAGGGAGCACATGTTAGTGCCAAAAAAAAAAAAAAATAAGACATTAGCGACATTGAAGAATACACGACATTTAACGACACTGTTAAAGTATTTATCTCACGATAGTTCTTTTACTTATTATATCTTGCTTCATCATTTTTTTGTCATTTTTCCAGATTCATAATGGTATGTATCAGTTTTTGTCTTAGAATTCAGAAATAATCTAACGTCATTAGTCTGCTTTATTTAATTTTCAGTCTTTGCTTCAGGTAATATTATTGATTATATGTACATGTACTTATATTCATACTGGATACCCTGCCTTGCTTAACAATCGAAAGTCAGGAGCATTAGGTATATTTTGGAAATTTGCAAGAATAGGTGAAAGGTTGAGTCCATACGTGTCCATTGGTTGCTTTATAATGGCTTTTAATGCATTAAGATCGTAGATCGTAAATAATTAATATAAAACTACTATATTGAACTACTTGAATTCATAAATTTCGTTCACTGAATTGCAAAGTACTGGCATACGATCACTCCCTACTATCCTCTCTAAACTGAGATTATCCCATTTGGAATAAAGCACTTTAACAAAGGAGAGGTCTTTATCGGCAATTTCCTTGAAAATCGATCTTCCTAAAAACCTAACAAGCTCCTTGTAAAATAGTGGATTGGATGGCAAACCATATAGCAACATGTTCTTGACTCCGGCTAATTCAAATCTTCTGAAGTAGTGCAATCTTTCTGTGTACAAAAGAATTTTGATCTTTCCGGATAGAAACTGATGCCTGGTTTTCGATAATTTTGACTGTGAGGAATACTCATCGATTGAGCCAAAATCATACTTCGTCGATGTTTTCAAAAAATTCTTTACCCTAAGGTAATCGTAATATGACGGAATGAATATTAAAAGACCATCATCGTAAGATACAGACTTCATTAAGGAGGGTAAAATTGAGTTGATAAAAAATTTGAACCTAGCTTCTGGGTCTTCGACTGGAGATGGACATTCAAACCTTTGAAATATCTGCTTAACCTTCAACCCAATTGAGTTCATAATACAGCTTTTTGAGTCAAACACTTTCCTGAATTTTAATTTTCCTGCTAAATTATATGACTTGGATGAAACGACGCTCATCGTGCTTGGGGTTGCATATTCGGTGAATACAAGCGTTTGTCTCAAGAATTTAGCACGGTCATTGATGGACCACATCCTGATCCTAGAAAAGTCCGCGCCATGAAAGTCCTTTGGAACCTTATTTAGATATTTAAGTACTGTGTTGACATGATCCCAATTTTGCATTTCGATTTGATGGGCCCTATCAACGATCAAAATCTCTATTGAGGATAAAAAGTCATACTGTCTCTTTTTCTTATCAGGATTTTCTAGTATCATAGTCAATCCAATAGGTGATGCAAGAATAATATCTGAAGAATAAAATGAAGAATACAATTTCAATGTCTTTCTAGTGAACTTTATTCCTATGCAAAAGAAATCATTATTATTTCCCTTGAAGGCATCTCTGAAATCTTCTGGTTTCGTATCGGGAGGGAAAACATTACTTGAAAATTGCAGGTTAAACTTCTTTTTATTCTCCTGTTGCTCTGATCCTGAAAGATTGATTAGTAAATTGACGATTTCGTTACACGAGTCTCGTGTAGGTAATAGTATAAGAACCTTGGGCCGTGTGAATCCTTGGTCCTTGAACTCTGGCTCTTCTTCTGTACGACCTGATTTTGTTGACTCTTTGTAATCACGAATCTTGGTATTGTTTTTCAAAATTCTATCTCTTGTCTTGAAAACATGATTCAAAGCATGCATCACGAAGAATTTTCTGTAAGAATTATTCTTGCAGTTACCATAAGGTAGCAACATATCCTTATAACTTAAAAGTGGATCCACGAGTCGAGTTTCGAGCATTGTTAGCGGAGCAGGAAAATGACGCGTGAAAGCATCAGATACTCTTTTCTTTATTAAATAATCATCTAATGAAGCTTTCGAACGAAAGTCAACTGCATCACTGGGTAGCGAAGTGCCTGGAGGGGTCTGAAAAATCGTATCGTAACCTATTTCTGGAAAAGATTTCTTGGATTTCAAGGGCCATTTATGGTGAGATTCAATTAATTTTACTTCTGTTTCAACGTAATCCTCCGTCGCCAAATTGAAATGAGTTTCGTATGGATCGCGGCCATTTTGTTCTTCCTCATCCATGTCATCGATAGCACCTTCATCTTCCTCCTCATCAGATGCTTCGACATTTAATCCAGCAATTTCATCTTCCGGTTCCTTATCATCTGCTTGTGCAAGCGCTTCACCTTTCTTTCTTTCGCTGCCTATTGTGTTCAGATGATCAGCCTTCAACAATGTTAACAACGCACTGTATGTCTGGTTACTATCAGCAGTTCTTGAGTCCACCAGATCCTCTTTTTCATTCTGTTCTATGCCGTCTATTGCATCTTCTTCGTCTGACATGGCATCCTCCTTTCCATCCTCAGGTCTTCTGTCTCTTCTTGATGTTCTTGTGACAGACCTCATTTCCTGACGACCTGAATTTCCATGTCTCCTTTTCACAAAATTACCACTGTGGCCCTTACCTCCATGAGTCGACCTCTTGCGTTGCTCAGGCATTCTTTTCGGAATAAAAATAAAGTTTTAATGCTTTTGAAGAAATTCTTCATCTTTTAAAACGAGCCAAATCTAGTGATGATCCAGATGAGGTCGTGTGAGCATACTAGTAAATTTCAAAAATAGTTATCTTACCCATTATACGTCCAACGTTTTGGCTGGAAAAGATACCTCAGACGTCTTAACCCTTTCAAGACATCTTAAGAAATACCAAAGGAGGTATCATTTACAATTTGGTATTCATTCCGAAGCAGAATAGATATTCATATTTTTCACAACCATATAATAGGAAAAGTGTTTCATTGTGCGAATTACCAATTCCAAATTATTCCTAACGGATTCCTCTTAAAGTTTGCTTTAATTTTAAAAACTATAGAACATCCGATTGAGTCGTGATTATATTATCAGTATCGGTATCATTTGCTTAGTTGCCAGAGTCATTTTGAGTCTTCTTAAAGTCTTTAAGCTACCTTTGATCGCTAGGTAAGCTACTTTCTTTTCGTAACTTATGGCGTTAGTTTTTCTGATACAAAATTTTGTGTTTACATTAGAAAATCAAGTCTGATTAGTACAATACGCTAGTGAAGATATTGCTATACAATATAACTGCTAATTTTTAGCAAGCTAAAGTGGCCCTAAGATTCTTTAAAAGAACCACGAAAAGTGAATTTTTGACTGGATTAAGGACAAGCTTACAAGAGTCTACGGGACAAAAAAAAAATTCAAATATTTGATTGAGCAATTGACGAAGAACCATGGATATGAATGACTTACAGGTACGACTCACTAAGGTGTTTCGGGCACTATTTTCGTCACTTTATCTTATTCTCATAATATTGACAATTCCTCTATCTTTTGATGTGGGAGGAGTTGAATGTGGGTTAGCTTTTTCTTTCACAACATGTACATTATATTTTGTACTAACCACAATTCAATTGGTTACTAGAAAAAATCGATATGTGCGGTGGATTTCATTACTTTATTATGTCCAGCATTTATTAATTCCAAGCTTATTGACATTGTTTTTATCTTACTACAGTTCAAAACACAAACCTCACACTTTGACAATAATTGACCTTTGGAGGCAATTTATCATCAATTCGACTCCCATATTTACAATTCTTGAAGGCTTCTGCTCGTTATTATTGATCCAAGCGATTGGACAGACAATCAACTGGTTGATCGTATACAAATCTGATAGTTGGCTAATAGTATCACTCGTCGGCAGTGGCTCTACAATTACAGCAGCATTATACTTTTTGTATCGGATATATGTGTTCCCGTTCACAATCGATATTGTGAGTGCCTCGTTGCTAGGGTCTCTATTGACAATGACAGTTGGGCTAGGTTTGTTTGGTATTGTTTCGGGAAAAGGGTCCATGATTGAATCATCACTTCTTTTTGCATACATAGTCAGATGTATCTATGAAACCTTTCCAATTTTATCTGAGGGTGCTAGTAAAGCTTTGACGGCATTATTCACCCAGACTACATACAACTTGAAACAAGAAATACCCATTTTACCACCGCAGATTTTGAGTCGACTACTGCAGCTGGTTCCATTTTTAGCTTCAAACTTGCCAGGGTCTTTTAAAACAATTTGGGAGTTCTTGCTAATGGCCATTCAAAAATTGACCTTACCTTTGTTATTAAACTTGGCTTACAGGATAGGAGTGTTCTACGCAGCAACTAAAATCATACCCTCCCTTTATCATGGTGTGATATATCCATCTTTATCACCGCCTAGAACTCCATCACAAACTCGTTCTCGACTGGTTTCTACATCACCAAATATAATAGTCTCAGAAGCTTCAGATGGTGATAACAACGAAAACGTTGAAAAAAAGAACGAGGAATCTAGTACATCAGAACAAAGCTCACATACCGCACCTTTCAGATTGGCTCCACCAAATCGTGAACCACCATCGACCCTTATAAAATTTATTTATGCATACTCACCGTGCATCGTAATAGCAGTCTATACTCATCTCATGATGCTGTATAATGGAGAACTTGGAACAGAGCTTAAAATATGGGGCTTTTGGGATTCAAGCTACCCTTCCAATATGACAATTGTAGTTCATCCTTGGCAATTTTGGAACTGGGTCAACATGGCCACTACAATACTCCTATACGCTGCTGAATTAATGGGTAATAGTGGTGAATCTGGAGGAGCGGCTTTGACCAGCCATTGGTCGGTAGAGTGAGCATAATAATGTGATGATAGTATTGATGTATTATTTCATATATTTTCTAGTTTCATTGTATTATTATAGCCACTGGAGTACGGACTTCCCTTATCCTTTTCAATTTTTATTCTATTTTCATTTCTACTTCAAGATTCTACTTAATGATGTTCTTGATCACATCGGTTTTAACATTATGTACTCAAATAAACAAGATGATACAAATGCCATTAAACTTCAATAAAAGAACCCTGATACCAATATGTTCTGCTTTCCTGTTAGACGTCAGAAATTATGCAACTCTCGTCCACGACTAAAACCTGCCATTTTTCCAGACAGTGAAATAATCTCAGAGCTTGACTCTATGTTTGCTTGGATGTTTCATCATAAGAATCTGATTAGAAAAGCATTTCATATTAGCTGGATCATTCCATTGAAACTTAATCACAGTAACCTCTACTGAAGTTTGAATGTAATGAACTTAGTTATTCTAGAGTATTTTAATAAATAAAATCCTTTAAGCCTGGCGTATTTGACTACGCAAATGTCTCAATCAAATGATTAGACATCAAGCTTGTAAATAAAGGAGACGTCCATGGGCCAAGAGTAAGCTCCATTGAGTTAATTACCAAAAGGTAATCAATTGCCATAACTGTCGTTTAGGATACACAATCCCATTGCCGAAAATCAGCACCGACCTGGATTAAAAACCAAGCCGGGTTTTAAGGTCCAAGGTTTCATGTCAGAAAGAGCCTCAAACATGAATCAAGAAGGCTTAATAAATACATCTCGGCCAGAGCAAATGGGAAACCCAAGTGACATGATTCGAATGAATTAGCCGTTCGGTACCTGCTCCTGTCATCACTAAACTCTGAGAGCATGAACTTTTGCGCCTCAGCGAATTGATTATTCGCTACGTTTCCGCAAAGAGGCAGGAGACTTTCCCCGAAGCCTTTATATGACCTATTAGAGTCCTTTTGTAAGCTTCGAAAGCAATTCTTTGGCCATGAACGTAAGTAAAAAGAGCGTGAAAAAATTTATGTTCTTGAGATGGCTATTTATATAGGAGAAATAATTCGGGTCGTGTATATATTGTATAGCTATAAAGTTATATCGAGCGTCAAGTGTAGATGCACTTAATGAGAGACTTCGAATATAGATTTAGACCAAGAACCATTCAATGAGAGAGTCAGGGAAAATCACAGAGAGCCAATCGTAAATTCTTGCTCCTGCCCCGCAGTAGACCACTGGCAGGTTAACCTCTTTTGAATAGATCAAATCAAAGAGTAAGTGATATAAATCTCTCAAGTTTGAGCCCTTTCCAGCTGCCCTTATAGGAGTGGAATTAAGCTGAGACTTTGAAAAGTCGTTAGCGTAAAGCAGTTTCATATCTTCATCCCAATTTCGTATTTCAGAATTTACAATATTTGATATGCGACCATAAGATTGACGACCGTTCGAGATGTTTAAGTTGCCTAACTTTACCTGGGTTACCGATAAGCCCTGTTTGTTTAATTCCCTCGTGAGTGTTGTAAAAAAATGTTTAGAAGAATTTTGAAATAAAGTTTCAGGTGCATGATATGGCATTTCTAACGAGCTGACAATGCTGGGAACAATTGAGATTATCTTCGCATCCTGCTGTCTTACCAAGTTTACTAATCCAGACGAGAATAGCTTCAAATACGTAAAAAGTCTGTCAAAAACCTTATTCCAGGACGACATTGAGATGTTCTCGATCGGACCCAAGGGAAAGTATAGATTTGGAGCAAATACAACGGATAAGAGCCTCAAGTGATGTGGTGATGCACCTGGGAATGGGATCACAGGTTGTGAAATCAAACGTTGAAAGTTTGATAATTGAACTCCTAGCTTATTAGATTCTTCATTGAGATTTAAATAATTAATGTCATCAGTAATAGGGTTGCTTTCAATATACTTGAAATCCTTTTCATCAAGAATGGTTAGATAAACTATGAATCCTCTCTTTTCAAAATCGAGAACTATCAATCTGGTTAGAGGCTCCGTAGGTGATCCAACAACTAGCACTATGTCTCTTCTAGCACCATTACTTAATTTAGGAACTCTTCTTTTTGGTTTACATGCAATCTTGTACTTATTTAGTCCACTTGCATCCGCAAAGACATAGATAGATGTTAACCCAATTCCAATTGTTAGTATAGTTGCAACTTTAATCTTATTATCCTTCAACTTCGTGTAACATCGGTCTACCAAAGTAGTCGGTTGCTGTCGACAATTCATTGATGAATAATTTTCACCTTTTACTAATAAAACTGGATCCCAACTTGCAATTTTTTCATAATATTCCGAATGAACTAACTTATCATGTTGTGTGGCGAGATAGTTTGATGCTTGATTGTAAAAAGAAGTTAAGGTCAGAATCGTAGCTTGCACCGGTTCTGCTACCATATTATCTGACTATATATTTCATAAACAAAGACGTTCTTTTTAAAAGATATTGAGTTTTTAAGACGTAATTATCTTATCAAAGTAAACCGTTTTGAGTTTTAATTATGGGGCAAAAAATGGTAAGAAGATCACGAAGCCGGTAGAAAAAGGCAAATTTAAAACCTGAGAAAGAAAAAAAAGATGCCGGTCCCAGGAATCGAACTTGGGTTTCTTCGGCCACAACGAAGTGTACTAACCACTATACTAGACCGGCGGATTTTCTATTCATTTTTATCTTTACATATACATCCATCGAGATGATAGGAATCTCGAAGGATTATTGTAGTGTAGAGTTTAAATGCGAACCATCTCTAGACACCCTAAACTTAGAGTAGTTGTTGAAGACAGCACTACCGATTAGAGATTACTAGTAAATCGATATTCGTATATTTGGTTTACACTAATAATGTCATCATTAAGGTGGTTAAATAATCATTGAAAACATAATCTCATATCTAACTGCTCACATTGACATTTCGAGTTTGGACAGAAAGAAATTGGTCGTTACCAACGTTGTTAAGATACTTCTCGACAGAATCACAATCATTATAGCTCAAAGAATGGCTCCTGTCCATTTCATTTGCACTAATGCCATCTGCCATTCCTTCTAGATCAGGAGGCATCCTGGTATTTAAAGTTCCTTCCGTAGTTGCGCTTGTAGGTGTTATCACATTTTTAAAATAGGATGTTGGTGACCCATTTAAAGTACCACTATCGAACTCTGAGGTAGGTGTGTTGACCCTGGAACATTTCTTGGGAAAGAGACTGTAAACTGTACTTGCACCTGCATCCGAATCTGAATCGTAAGATCTCATGAGTCTCAAATTTGATGAATTTGGAACCCTAGAATTATTGGCAGCTGCTGCCCACATGGAGGATAGAGGCAAAGACAACACGACTAAGAAAATGCTTACTGTGATTAGCTCAGAATAAAATGTTTTGCTATTTGCATAGTTGACCAATACCAAAATTGAAGGAACTATCATTGTTTGAGATGTCACAATTAACAATATATGGAAGCTATCGAATTGCCTCAACCCAAGGTATCTTCTAGTTTTAATTGCAAAAATCAATTTTGTTATCAACATAATACTCATTGCATTAATAGAAGCACAAAATAAGATAGAAGGTAAGTCGGTTTTCCATCCTCCCAACTGGATCGTGGAAGAAGAGCCTTGATGAAAATACCTATAATTCTCAACGATATAGTTGATGTAAAGACCAACGATGAGACACGCTAATGTTCCCGACAAGCCAGATAAAACATATCCTAATTTACGCACTTCAGGTGACCTGAAAATCATGTAAACCTGGAATGTCATTGAACACTCGATCAATGCGATAACAATCACTTGGAAGCAATTGGCAGCAAGGGTGACATTATAAGATTTCAAATCATCTGTGTCTACTAAACCAAGTACAACGTAAGACATATTTGCAAGAGGCCCATGTAAATATGCCACATAAAGAGAGCTCCTCACAATCATGGCTGCTAGAGTCAACTGGTTCATTATAAAGATAGGGGTTTTCTTATTGTTAACTATAAGCCATAAGACCGCCATCATAATAGAACAAGCTCCAATCGCCGCACCATATATAGTACCATATTGGACATTATACAATGCAGCCTCATCGAACAACCCTATCAGAACAGAAGCTTTGACATCAGTCTTACCAGGGACCGAAAAGGTCAAGATAATATCGCCCATAAGTAGCTAGTTACAATTTACTAACTCTATTTTCACACTTGATAGTATTTTAAGATAACTTATGCTTTACTTAAGTACTAAACAGATTCTTTGCGTTACTAGTTGGTCTCGTCTCAACTTGGGGCCTTTTCCATATCCCCTGCTCTAATTTACCTTTTGCGGCAACCGCAATAGTAATAAATGTGTATCCAGTTTTCCTATCACCCCCAAGATGTAGATACTAAGAAATGTCCTTCCATTGACTCGTCCATATCAGTCATTATATTAACATCTATTCTTACTTAAATTCACCCCCTTCCAAGTCGCCGTTAGTAACAATCTTATGAAGGTTTCTCCTACCACTTCATCAGAAGATGTCTTACATGCCTTTCCTGCACAATTGACCAATGAGGTTTTAATCACAACCGCCTGAGCGCATCAAAAACGTTAAGGGAGCCGACAGCGAAGCAAAGAGACTGAACAGATATTACAAAGACCGATTAATTAAAAACACCAGATTGGTACTTTCAGTGAACAACTATATAGAATACACTGAGGGGTCCTAATCTGAGCACTGTTGAGAAGATCGGGTTTATATTCGATTTGTTGATTGAATTTGCCAACAATCTAGGATTCAATATACCAGAAGATTAAAGAACTGGTGATGTCGGATAAGCCCATCAAGGATGTGTCCATGGTGGACGTATCTAATACAGAGCATATGGAAGAAGCGATAGACCCTAGAGATCTGAGCAGAAGGCAGGAAGAAATAAGCCCGACAACGAGCAGAGTGAATCATTTCTCTAATGAGCCGCCGCAAAGACGGAGGTCAACAATGATCTTGACCGATGATATGGAAATGGATAAATTGAGAACTTCGGGCGATAATTCTCGAAGTCATGATGATGATAGAATGACGGTAGACTCTTCTGGCCAAGGGGCAAACAATACCTCACAACAACCACAGGGAGTTCAACCTACTACTACAGATCCTAATGTCACTGTACCCGTAGACATTAAGTGGGTACAAGGTGGTGAAAAAGTCTACGTGACAGGATCATTCACAGAATGGCGTAAGATGATTGGGTTAGTGAAGCAACCAGACAATACTTTTATGATAACATTAGGATTACCTCTTGGCACCCATCGCTTTAGGTTTGTTGTCGATAATGAGCTAAGATTTTCAGACCATATGCCAACGGCGACAGATCAAATGGGTAACTTTGTTAACTATATAGAGGTGACACCGGAACTCGTCTCGTCATACTTACAAGAAAATAAAAAACAAGACACCCAACAGCCAATTCAACATGAACCACAACCGAGTCGTAAACCATCGGTTTCTAAAGCAACTACGAGAAGAGATTCGGCTTGGGGATTAACTAATGATGATGATGATATGGGTGATGGGTATTCGAGATATAAGGATGAAGATGATGGAACTAAGATCTTAAAAAATTATAATTATATTTCAGACATTCCACCAATTTTCACCGATCCCAAAGTCATGGAACAGTATTACATTGCAATAGATAAGCAGTCTAAGAACCAAAATGGTCAACAGCAAGCTTGGTTGCATCCTCCACATTTACCTCCACATTTAGAGAATGTCATTTTAAATAACTTCAATTCAATGGACAGGGACAATAACTCAGGGGCATTGCCAATTCCTAACCACGTCGTATTGAATCACTTAGCTACTACGAGTATTAAGCATAATACTCTAGCTGTTGCATCAGTGGTCCGTTATAAAAGGAAATATGTTACACAAGTCCTATACGCTCCATTGCAGCAATAAATTTTTCTATTACTTAATTTTAAAAGATAAGTAATTGTGCATTTCTTACTTTAGAGCTTGACTTGTGCCAATGCCTAAATAGCCGTTAGGTTTTATTATTTAGTTACTGTGGATTAACTATTAAGATTTGTCCATAACAAATTGATATAGAAAGTGACTTTATTTCATAGCAAATACAAACTAGAAACTAGACATTCATCATACATACGTTATTTTATTTTATACCTACTTAATTATGGACTAATCTAACTTAATATCTGTCAGAAGAGCTGTAGGAATCATTGCCACCACGTCCAGATGAGCCATGGGAATCATTACCACCACGACCAGACGATCCATAGGAATCTTTGCCACCAGAAGATCCATATGAGTCGCTACCTCCACGGCCAGAAGAGCCATATGAGTCTTTTCCTCCGCTTCCAGAGGATCCATAAGAATCATTACCTCCACGGCCAGAGGATCCATAAGAATCATTACCTCCACGGCCAGAGGATCCATAAGAATCATTACCACTACGTCCTGAGGAGCCGTAGGAATCTTTGCCACCAGAAGATCCATATGAGTCGCTACCTCCACGGCCAGAAGAGCCATATGAGTCTTTTCCTCCGCTGCCAGAGGATCCATACGAGTCCTTACCGCCACGTCCTGAAGAGCCATAAGTGTCTCCACCACCGCTGTAGCTATCGTTAGTGTCTCCATAAGAGTCACCTCCACGGTTAGAAGAACCGTGTTTCTTATCGTCGTCGTCTTTACCAAATCCAAATACCATTATTCAATTATTCAATTATTCAATTACCTAACAGCTTATTTCGAAACTTAGTAGTCGAATACAGATTCGATGGTCCTTTTATATATCGTTGGATCCAGGCAATGTTGCCATATACGAAATATTCTTCCGTTGCCTCCTAGGGTCAAATGAACGACTGCAAACTGAATTTCATTCGAGTTCATATGACGTGGCCCCATGCATCGTGTTGTGGCTCATTTACAGACACGTTAGGAAGCCGAATTGAACAAGGGCACATTGCCCAGATTAAAACGTGCAATAGATTTGTTGCATCTTCACTGAAATTTTCATGATTTTTTAGGCGTTGCGACCTCCACAGAGCCCCTGCGTCAATCTTTAGATTGCGATTCAAGAAGAATCCTCCGGAAGTAGATCAAAAGCCTTCCTTATTCTATACCATGTTGGACCATTATGCAACCTTCTTCGGTCTAGTGCAACCACTATTACCGCTAGATCCTATTAGAAAAGGTCGGGGATATGTATCATCCAATTTCACATCTATGCTTAGTTTATTGATTATCTGTTAAGAGCGATGTGTTAACAATATTTATGGAGAATAGAGTGTCGGCCTACGAAGAGGGCACAATAGATGAAAGAACTATGGCATTGGAGAATCTCTACATAGCGTAATTTTGTTGAGCAGATTACTACAAGACCAGATGTATCCACATGTGCGAATTCGGATCAAGATGACCACCCCTATTGAAACTGGGCAGTCTGCGTATTTCAATTGCTTGCTCGAATCGATACTCAAAAGGATGACGAACATCTGTATGCAGTTTTGGCGCGTGTTTTCTCGTCAAAGACGAAATCCTTGGAGTTGCATTCCTGCTTATAGCGATATTATTATATTGAGTATTGCACACTAATTGTATATTTTCCTATTAAGTTATTTCAGATCTATTAGAACTAATGTGGATGGGCATTTCTATCAGCAGTCCTTGGTTTGGCCCTGATAATGTTGTCGACTCTCAACAATACTTCTGAAGCTTCAGCAGCGGATGAAACAACGGCTCTCTTTAATTTGAACGATTCTACTACACCTAAGTCTCTCATATCTGCTACTGTTCCATTATTCAAGTCCAAGCCTGAAGTCGTCATACCATTGTAGATTGCGGATCTCAACTTTGTAACTAATGAAGATGAATCATATCCGGCGTTATCAGCTAAAATTGTTGGAAGTTGTCTTAAAGCTCTTGCAAAAGCCTCAATTGCCAAAGACTTCTTGCCGGTTTCATTTGCAGCGACTTGATCGACTGCCTTGGACATAACCATTTCTGAGCATCCACCTCCCAAGCAGGTCTTTGTGACCCTTGTAGTTTGGGATAAGACTGATAAGGCATCGTGTAATGATCTTTCAGCTTCATCCAATACATGCTCGGCTGCACCCCTTATAACAATTGTACAAGCTTCCCCTTTAGCAACTCCAGAAAATTTAGTCATCACATCTTCACCAATCATAATTTCTTCAACTGCATCACAGTATCCTAATTTGACCTTTTCGGGGTTATCAAACGTAGATACAACTTCACCGCCAGTAACTAGAGCCAATCTTTCAATACCGTCGAAGTCGGCGTGCTCAATTGAGTTAACCTTAGCATCCGTAAAAAGTTGCTCAGGATAGTCATATATCAATTGTCTGTTAATAAAAAGATTGATGCCAAATTTTTTGATTTTATCAACTTTTTCTCTCATTTTTGTTTTTTCTGCTCTTTCCAACTCTGCAAGCTTTGAAGTCGAATCCACTTTGAACTTAGCACCAAAAATCTTAACCTTATCAGTATCCATCGACGTATTAGCAACTAAAATTTTCGCCTTAGTTATCTTCCTAGGTTGATTAATGCCGAATTTCCTTTCTAATATAAAACCTTCATCCAAAAACGAGTCAGACAAGCTGCCACCAGCTTTTTTAATTATTTGAATGTGGTTCAAATCTGTTGAACCTTTGAGTCTTAAAATAGCATCTACAGCTAATTTGGCAAAGTGTTCCTTATTTTGAGACAAAATTTTGGAAGACAACGTAGTCTTGGCAATATGGAATAAGTCTTTTCTAAATTCTTCAGGATTGGAAGCGTTATCAACAGAACTTTTTTCCAAGGCCAGGATAGCAGTGTCCCTAGCAATTCTGAATCCCTCTATAATCGTTTGAGGGTGAATTTTCTTTTCAATTAACTTTTCTGCTTCTTTGAGAAGTTCAGCACTCAAGACGGTGACAGATGTAGTTCCATCACCTATTTCATCGTCTTGCACCTTCGCAAGATTCACCAATACTTTTGCTGCAGGGTTATCCAATGGAATGGCTTTGAGAATTGTTGCTCCATCATTTGTTATCATTGCACTGTCAATATTTGATGCGCTTTGCAACAACTTATCCATACCTTTAGGCCCAAGAGTTGATTTGACCAAATCACCCACGGCTATGGCACCAACGAATGCCGACATACGAGCATTTTCTGCTCGTTCTTCTGTAGCCTGGTCTCCTAAAATCTGCACTGACATCGTACAATGTTATTAATAATAACTCAAGGATCAGGTTACTTCTACTAATGCTGGATTATGGAAACTTAGCTATACCTTTTTCAAGGTATCTGATATGAGAGAAACGGTGATTCCTTCACTGAGGGCAACTGTGTAGTGCACGACGAATTAGCTTTGTGATACAAAAAAATTTTCTATTCTAAATGTCTGATGATTAGCAATATTTTTGGAGAATTCGGGGATGAATAGAGCGTAGGTATACATATCTATGTTCTGTGTTTAGTGTAATTGTATTAGCATCAGATGATAAACCCACAAGACTTTTGATAAGCTTATTAACTGGAATTTCAAAAGTCAAGACGACATGTAAGTCAGGTGATCGCGTGCTGTATAGTCTTTTAGGCCCTTTGTAGCAAATGAGATGGCATTAAAAACTGCTTACTTTGGAACAAAGTGAAATAAAAGTAGAAACGCTAATTCTAGTATTTAGTGCATATACACCACTCATAGATTTACAAGAGGGTGTAATCCAGCTCAGTACGGCTATTTGGGCTTCAATTTAGAGCGTATTTTTTAGTGACACTCACCAGTCGTATCGAGCATATAGTGTGTGCATTGTCTGAATATCTGAATACAGCTCACGGTGAATTACGACCACTTGGCATAAATCAAGGTTGGAATAAGGGGAAGGGATAGGTATGTCCGAGAAACCGGTGTCAGAAAGCGTTCCTAGTGATGAAGTAGAACATCAAGAAATTCCTATTCACGATTACGAAACTTTATTTACAAAATTAGATGTGCATCACCATGGGAAGATAACTTTACAGGACTTCAAAGATGCATTAAAGGATCTACACCATCCAATTACTAGGAAGCCTGAGCTAATGCGAACGATCTTCAATTGCTTTGATTTAGACAAAGATCAAGTTATCGATTTCAACGATTTCAAGAACTACCTCGCTCTTTCAGATGATCAAATTTTAAAAGGATTCCTTAAAATTGACCAAGATCACGATGGAAAACTCAACAAGGCAGATTTTGCTGAATATTTACAGAAATCTCTCAATATGAGTCCTACTGATTATAATGTAGATTTGTTTTTCAATCAAATCGACAGTAAAAATGTTGGTTACATAGACTACGAAGACTTTCGTGATTTCCTAATATTGATGCCTAGGTTAAATGGATCCCGAATTAGAACTGCTTATAACTACATTGCTGAAGAGCTAGATTTATCCTCCGACGGTGACGTAACTTTGATAAACCAATTCCTCAACGGATCAGGCTATTTTCTTGCTGGTGGATTATCTGGTGTTGTTTCACGTACGTGCACAGCGCCTTTCGATAGAATCAAAGTTTTTTTAATTGCTAGGGCCGATCTATCGTCCACAGTCTTGCACTCAAAGGCAGAGATAGCACGACAAATAGCAAGTGGTGCTTCCAAGCAGGCAATAGAGGCAGCAAAAGCAGCCCATGAAGCCGCTATGCAACCGCAAAAAACAATCAGATCCCCTATTATTCAAGCTGCAAGGACTTTGTGGAAGCAGGGGGGAATAAGAGCATTCTATGTTGGTAATGGTTTGAATGTTCTTAAGGTGTTCCCTGAATCAGCTATGAAATTTGGCTCTTTCGAAGCGGCAAAGAAGTTTTTGGCTACTGTTGAAGGTGTAAGCGACACCTCTGAATTGTCTAAGGTCTCAACCTACCTAGCGGGTGGCTTAGGTGGTGTTGTTGCTCAATTTACTGTATATCCAATAGACACCTTAAAATTCAGATTGCAATGCTCCAACTTAGAATCATCAGTTAGAGGTAATGATCTTTTATTTAAAACTGCTAGAGACTTGTTTCAACAAGGAGGTCTCAGAATTTTTTACCGTGGAATTTTTGTGGGCGTAAGTGGAATTTTTCCTTATGCAGCCCTTGATCTTGGTACCTTTACAACTATTAAGAAAGTGTTAGCTAAAAGAGAGAGTAAAAGGACAGGAATTAAAGAAGAGGATATAAGGCTTCCTAATTATATGGTTTTGTCCCTAGGAGCTTTGTCTGGTTCTTTTGGTGCGACTGTAGTATATCCAGTGAATTTATTGAGAACTAGACTACAGGCTCAAGGCACCTATGCTCACCCATACACCTATAATGGTTTCTTTGATGTATTGAGAAAAACTATAGCAAGAGAAGGGTACCCTGGTCTCTTCAAGGGCTTGGTGCCTAACCTAGCTAAAGTTGCGCCCGCAGTCTCTATCTCATATTTCATGTATGAAAACTTGAAGCATTTATTCGGGTTGAATGAGAATCTAAACTGAAATATCTACTCATTTTTACCTCGAAGTTGCATTAGTTATTTAGTATATTTATCAACATAATATAGTCATCAGTATAAAATAGCTATCACCATGAACACTCCTAAGATATATATTCATTATGTAAATCGAAATTAAATACAGCCAAACTTACTTCTCCTATTGGAGCAAAGCCTTTCACAGGGGTTTTATTACCCTTCAGAGAGTTCGATATCCTTACCCATTCAGACTTTAGAGGCAGTGCATCTAAATTGAAAGAATCGTCGATTTCTATAATTGTTTTAAAGAATAAGTCATCACTTTTCTTTATTGACAGACTCTTTCTTCGAAGTTCATTCAAATGCTGAAATAATGCAGATCTGAGTTGAGTGTATACCTCATCCCAAGAGAGAGTAGATATATCTATCTTAGTTTCACTGGTGGGATTCTCTGTGGTCAAAAAACTGAGATCTGGTAGAGCAGTACTCAAATTTATAAGGTCATTGAATTGAATAACGTATTTATGTCTAGCATAGTTAGACTTTGAGTCATACACTAGCATTACCAATTGCCTTACTTTTCCACCGTAGTCTGTAAGTAATATTTCAATAAAGCTGTTCACAAACTTTTCCAAATATGAATTCACTGCTGGATTCCTTGATTTGAATATTATCACGCCAAATGATTTATATTTTTCAAATATTTCAGGGGAATATATCTCATTGTAGTATAAGATCTGATTAGCCCATACTACAAGAAATTCTTTGAGGGCTAAAATAAGATTTTCTGCCGTTAATGTAATCATAACATTTTAGCTATTGAAGCTTTTACTATCTAATCAAAGTGATGATCTCTCATTAATGTTAAATACGCGACTATCAAATTAAACAAAAATATACCAAATATGCTCTATAAGAGATGAGTATAAAAACCATTGATAAGGAAGATGTCCATCGTATAACATCAGGACAGGTGATTGTTGATTTATCCTCTATTGTGAAGGAGTTGGTGGAGAACGCTCTTGATGCGGGTAGTCTGAAGATAGAGATAACGTTTAAGAATCATGGTCTAGAGTCAATTATAGTTGAAGACGACGGATCTGGGGTTGCTAAGGAAGACTTTCCCAATATATGCTTGAAATATCATACCTCAAAGCTAACGAATTTCGAGGAACTTAACGAGGTCAACACATTAGGGTTTAGAGGTGAAGCACTAAGCTCAATCACGTCTATAGCTAATGTTGAAATAATAACATGTACCAAAGATGATCACCCACGGGCTTCTGAGCTAAGTTTTGATAGATTGGGACATTTAAAAAAAGTAAAGTCAAAGATTGGAGGACGCATAGGCACATCAGTCATTATAACCAACATTTTTCACAATTTACCTGTGAGATTAAAAAATCTAGAAAAGAATGTTAATAAGGAATATAATAAGGCAGTCAAGATTCTTATGAGTTATATGCTTTCCAGCCCACAGGTACGCTTCATGGTCTACAATATTGGAAAAACTAATAAGAAAACATTGCAATTGGCAACAAAAGGAGGTAAAACTTCAACTATGTTAGATAACATGGTTAATGTATTTGGAAGTAATGCCTCATATGGAATAGTTCCAGTTGCTTTTGAGGCAGATAATTTGGAGGCAAAATTTAGACTTTCTGCGGGAGAATTTCCTATCATGAAGAGCTTCACACTTAAAGTTGAAGGCCTAATTTCAAACTGTTCTTTTGGATTAGGAAGATCCTCAGCAGATCGTCAGTATTTTTTCATCAACAAAAGGCCAATTATATCTAAAAAGTTTTCAAAAACTGTGAATGACGTCTATAGAGCCTTTAATCATGTTCAGTACCCGGTAATAGTTTTAAATTTGGAAATATCAAATCAGTTCTTAGATATCAATATAACTCCCGATAAGAGAACTATATTCATTCGCAATGAAGATGTCATTGACAATGTCTTAAGGGAACAGCTCACAGCATTTTACAATGAACAAGGTAATACAATTCCCAAAAATAATGAGAATATCATATCCAACGATAATCATAAACCTATTAATTGTGACATTAAAAAAACATCACTTCTGAAAAAAATGGAGTATAAAATTCCTGAGGAAAACAAGAGCCTGGAAAAGGATGAAACTATTGGTGATGATTACAAGGATGGTGTTACTTTGATTACTTTTGCAAATGAAGCTTTGGAAACCCTTGACAACCGTCCGGTTGAATCTGAAGAACAAGGTGAGATCCATGATGGGATGCAGGAGGATTATCGTCGTCCTCGAGAGCCTCAGGTGGATACAAAACCAAGGGAAAATGAAAGTGAAAATGAAAATGAAAATGAAAATGAAAATGAAAATGAATGTGAATGTGAAAGTGAAAATGAATGTGAATGTGAAAGTGAAAATGAAAGTGAAAGTGATGGTAACAATTCTCAAGAAAAACGTGAAAATCTCAATGACAGAGTAAATAATGATATATCTTCAAATATCCTGAAGTATAGTGATAAAGATCATCGCTGTCTTGCGAAAATACCAAATGCCGTTGGCGTCAATTTAGATTCAGAAAGTCATAATAAATCACTCAAAAAGAACACAAGAGATCTTAATACAAGGCTGCAAAAAACTTTTGATTCTGATTCTGCTGATATTTCAGATAGCGAATCAAATGACTCTGAGAAAGAGCAAGGGATGTCTAACATCGCTGCACAAAATGAAGATACAGAAAGCAGTGTCGATTTGTCAGGCTTCAAAAATAATGCATCTTCGGGTTCTACAAAGCCATCAAAGCCTAGCGATGGCATTCTCAAAATTACCGTAGGGGACTTGACGTTTGAAGAAAGTACCATTAAGAGACGAAAGATTCGGGATAGTCCATCATCCAAGTATACTACACCCCATAGAAATGCAGTCCACAATCTTTCAAGAGTAGTTTTCATAGATATTGAGCTGGTTGTTGCATCGGTTTCCATGACATCAAGGCAAAATAAGACAATGAAGATCCCCAATAAAAGACTCGTGATAGATCCAATTGAAAAGACTGAGGAAGCAGAAAAGAAGCTCTCGTATATAGTATCAAAAAAAGACTTTCTTAATATGAGAATTATTGGTCAATTCAATTTGGGCTTCATATTGGTCTCACTTAATTCGTCGAATAATATGTTCATAATCGACCAGCATGCATCGGACGAGAAGTTTAACTTTGAAAGGTTCACGAGAAATACTCAGTTCCAGGGTCAGCCACTAGTTTCACCCAAGACAGTTGACCTCAGTGTTATCGATGAAATTACAGTTGCTGATAACATAGATGTATTTAAGCAAAACGGCTTTAATGTTACGTTTTGTGAAGATGCGCAACCAGGAGAGCGTGTAAGGCTCTTGTCTTTACCCATGCTGAAAGATGTAATATTCGATGTCAATGATTTCCACGAACTAATACATCTTATCAGTTCGTCTCCTTCAAAGTATAATGTAAAATGCTCCAAGATAAGAACGATATTAGCCCTGAGGGCTTGCAGGGGGAGTATTATGATTGGTCAACATCTTAATAAAACCACAATGACTAAAGTAGTGTCTAATTTGTCTACTCTAGATAGGCCATGGAATTGTCCCCACGGAAGACCGACTATGCGACATTTAATTGAGTTAAAAAATTACCCTACATTTGATGAAGATTATATGATCTAATCAGCCGTGCGTTTTATAAAGGACATAGTCATCGTAATGCCTATATAAATGAAAGAAGCAATCAAAGAATTCGTGACGATAAGTTCCCCGACCAACCTAATGTTAGCTGTTTTAGACCTATTATAAAGCTCTTTTGATGATCCTTATAGATTTTTGAGTAGTTATGGCTCTAACTCCAATTGACGTGCGATATGACCAAAATGTACGGACAAAAACGATCTTTTAGATTGTGCGTACTTACTGTTAGATAACATCCATTGCATTGTTCAATAGTAGGTTCAACTGTCGATGAATTAGGCTATCACTTATATTAAGATAGCACACTTCATCGAGTAAGATCTGAACGTATTTATTGAAGAGGACGAGTAGTACATTTTCCTAGAAGTTGGATAAAAGTTTTACCAATAACTGGATAATCGTACTATTTTACAAGACATAGGTTTTGCTTAATCAATAAGTTTGTACCTTTGGGGATTAAAGTATTTATTTTGTGAAAATCGAATAGGCTTCTGGTGGTGCAGGTCCAAATGTATTTAGATAAGAGAGCATTGAGTGGCTCTGGAGTTCCTGAGAGGAAGAGTCGAAGAACCCACAAGAACTCACGAGATGGTAAGTACAGGCGAAATTTTTAAGTAAAACCATTGATTTACTAACATTTAATTTAAGGATGTCCTAATTGCAAAGCGAAGAGAATAAAGTGTACAGAGGAGCTTCCCTCATGTTATAATTGTATTAAAAAAAATAGTCGTTGTGGCTACGCCGATTTTCCAAAAGAGAAGTTAGAACATATCAAGAGAAAGAACGAAAAGAAGAAGAAACAATTAAGGGATGGTGGATCCCTTGAAGCTTCTGATAAGGATTCGGGGCATGAGAGTCTGAGCCTCGGATTTCTGCGAGATGAATCTACTCACTTATTCATTAGTCCGCTACCTGTACTGCATCTGCTAAATTATCAACAAAATGAACATCAAAATCTGCCGAATCAAGGCAATAAGGTGCCAGACTCACTTACATCCTATAATTTAAGTGGAAATTTGTCTTCTCTGCATCATGCGAGTTCGAAAAATAGAGTTCCTCAGTTAGGAGAAGAATTTTACATTACAAAGAACCACTTAAGGAACTCATTATACAATGATGTCTTTATAAATGCGGTAAATGGTACAGTACTTCCTGATAACACCTCCAACTTGAAAAGTGTAGAGACTGACTTCCAAAAACATATACAAGGACATAACATAGTATTTCCAAATGTTAAAGATAAATCCGACTCATCATTAAACATAGGGCATGAGAACTTCGTCGATCACCTTAAAGACAGAATTTCAACTGAGCTGTTATCTCCTGCTACAATTAACGACTTCAAATTGAAAACTTTGAAATCCAATTCTATTTCTGGGCTGTTTAAATTTCAAAAGCTAGTCAAAGCTCCAAAGCTCCGTAATCGAGAACTATCAAAGATTTTAAAAAAGCTTCCTAGTAACCCTAGTCAGATGTATGTATCTTATAAAGTTCAATGTGTGCCTGTGTGGACTGAAGAGGCGATTTTTGAATTCTGGACAATAGTATTTTATCAAGCCTGCTTCATGAAAATTTACTTTTGCTTTTTCATTGATCATTCACTCAATACAATTTTACGAAAATGTGACAGGGAATTGGCCAGTCAAGTTCTCTCAATGGCATCATTAGAGTCAAATGTTCCTAACTCGAATTCTTCAAGCTCATTATCTACACCCAGTTGTTCCCAGAGCTTTGACGAGAAGGAATTGAACAAGTTGATTCAACATTCATACGTAAGCTATGGGAGATTAATAAAGTGCTTGAGAGAGTCTCTCTCAAAAATGTACATTGAATATCCTGCAAAAATATCGTTATATTCTTCGTGGTCGACCTATTTGAATTCACATGCGACAGTAGATACTCTTTCTACGATGCACAATGGTTATGTCACTTTATATTCAAAGGCTATTAATGAAGCCCATGATATCAATGACCTTTCACCAGGTATTTTTCATGCGGTACATTTCTTTAACGATCAATCAATTGCATCTGTTATTCCTGATTATAATTTTGGAGTTATCTCAGAGCTTCTAGATGATGTACAAAACTTTAAGGCGTTCATGTTAAAGAACAGAGCTGTCGTAGAACGCTTGGAATACAAAACCTTGATACAGTTATTACTTGGCTTAGAAAATTTTTTAACTTATTTGGTGAAAGAGTTCCATCCCAGGGTTACGAAATTGAACAATTATTACAAATTGATTCATTTGATTGACGATAAATCCAATAACTTATACTTCATTTCTATATCAATGTTTTTTGATCTACTAGTTCTGTGGTACAAAGGCTACCCAGGTCACTTTCCCACTGGATCTCACGTATGTGGATTTAGAAAGACACTTTATCTCATGTTCTTGGCAGTAGGTAAGGCTCTCATGCACATTTATTCACCAATTAGAAGTGTTATGGTTGCTGATACATGCAATCTCATATTTCAGAGGGCTGATTTTATTTGTGAACAGTTTATGTTTGAAAAGGATAATATGTTGTCGGAAGAGCTGAATCAATATTTAGTCACATTCTCGCACAAGTTGATGAGAATAATCAAGTTTTTTGAATACCGAACTCTCTTCTACTCTTATTATTTGACGACTTCCACAATTTTGAATACAGACTACTTGAAATACGTCGGCACTGGGCCAAATCCAGTTGACGATAAACACAATGATATTGTTCAGCTATTACCTAAGGTTTTGGACACTAATGAGGTCATGTTAAGTAGTTTTATCGACTCAGTAGTGATCAACGCAGAGCTGTACCCTATATTTGATCTGATCAGGGAAAATAACAAGCTAACTCAATTTATTGACGAAGAAAAAATTGAGCAGGCTCAAAGGCAAAGAAACCATCCAGATACTCAGACTGGTGTTATTTTTGATAAATCTTGTTCACTTTTCACCTCAGATTTCAATCCATCGTCATTGTTGGCTGAATTTATAGGCATGCAGAAGTTTATATGGTCAGTTTACCCCTTGACTTTGGAAGAAATGCGTACTAGAGTGTCTAACTATCAAAAAGGTAGATTAGAGATTGCAAATTCCATAAAACTCTCTAACAAATCTGTCTGATTTGAAGATCATTCCTCTATGTATATCCTATAGTTCTGTGTATAGCTTTTTAAGACTCAGTTGTATTTTTCATGACCTATTCTCTTTCATTGCGACTTCATCCATTTTGTTGAGAAGTTGAGAATCGCTTCTTTTAAAGCTTTATTTGTTCTACATTGAAAATCTGAATTCGTGATTAGACCTTAATGTGTAGTGTTTAGTCATTCAATTAACATGGAGCAGATTCCTGAGGGATCGGAAGATCTTCAAGGAGGAAAAACCACTCCTGGAGGCAAAATTTATGACAACGGACTTCAAATGCCTGTGAGTTTTGAAAAGTTGGACTATAAGCAATTTCATGTTGACCAAAAACTGGACCCGATATCGGAGGGAAGCTATCTTGAAGGCCTTTTCATTCAGCTGCTTAAAAGAGCAAATTCAGACATTCTTTTCGATGCAGTTCTCTCGTTAAGCTGCCATCATTTAAGTGAGAACGCATTTAGCTCCCTTGGCGTTTGCAAGAATGGTAAAGCTTCAGATATCTATGAACTTAATCATTACCTCAAAGAAAGTGCAGCAAAGCACTATTCTGCTACTATTTCGAAGCTACTGAGCTCGCTTGAGTCCCCTGATCATGATATTGTAACTTCGATTGCTGCATCAAGTGTCCTACATAAAGTAGCAATTTATGAGGAAACTGATTTAAAAGAATCAGCAGTGTTCACCAACGGTATGATCAGCATTTTTGTGGACTTCCTAATCAGCACCAATACGTATTCTAAAGCAGTTATTTCGGTTGCTAACTTTTTGGTGTTTGCATATTGCTCGTTTTATTTCCCTAGTTATAAGCCCACAGTGATATTGGAGTACTACTCGGTATTGAAGGATTTTGAAAGCGCTATTGCTGGTATAGAAAATAGTAGCATCTTATATCATTTTGAGAATCTTTCTCGGTTTGCTTATTCTTTGGTCATAGCAATTGAACAAGGGGAACTTGATCGACCATTTGCAATTTTCAGTCTATTAAGGAAATGGATTGCAATAATACCGCCCAAATTGCATATTTTAGACAGCATAAAAGATCCATTGGAAAGATGTCTTTTGTATTTATTTAAAACTTTGCTGAATATACTTGATAACGTTTTCCCGAAAGCAATCTTTTTCTTTTTACAGAATTTTGATGGGTTAAATTCAATGTTCTGTAAGCAAAACCAAGGAAAAAACCACTCATGTCCTGACCTTAGGATTAAAGAAATCAATACTTATTGTATCAGGGTTTCCTCGTTCTTTGAAAGGCGATCGAATTTCCTCGCCATCTTATACACTTCGAACAAGATATTGAATATATCAGAGCCAAGTTTATTGGCAGCCAACATCAACGAAATTATGATCGAAAGATTCAAAGAGTCATGTATCAAGTTTTATAACTATTTACACTTTCCAAGGGGATGTCAATTAGTTTGCACGAACACTGCGGCCGAGAATATTCAAAACACGTTTAACACTGACATTTTCGAATACAACAAAGATCACTATCACCATTTTAAAGATATGGCAACACAATATCGAGCTCTGTTGCCATTTGCTGATAAACTTCGTGATCCTGAACTTTTATATGAAGTTTCAAACTTTACTGATGCAAGCACGGGTGACCTTTTATTGGAAAAGTCGCAAGCATTGCAATCTAGATTTGAATTTACACCGTTCTATTTTTCCTTTCATAAGTATACTATTCAATCTTACCAGAATTTGCTAGCCTTCGATTACCATTTGCTTTACCAAAATGGTAGATTTCCAAGTTTGCAGTCAAGTGAACTTGATCCAACAACTGGACTTCTCGATGCGGATAGAGATCTCATGTTATTATTCTATTCTACTGGTATAAAAGAGATGCACCAGAATCTTCAAGCAAGTATTATGGAAACCAAAGATGCCTTGATAAAAACATTCGTTGACTATGAAGAAATGCGCCGTGTACTCTTCGATTTACCTGAATCTTAATAGAAGTACGAAAAATTCTCGAAAGCAACCTAAAAATTTATAAATAGTGACTAAGCTGAAATTTATCGTAAATTGAAGTTTTGTCTTAGGGGGTGTCGATTTAAGAGTTGTAGTGAAAGTTTAGCTATTTTGTCTAGGCAAGATGTCTACTGGCCAACATTGAGTTCGAGGACTCACGTGAGCACTATGAACTTTGACATGAAGTGTTGAGAAGTGACGTTGTGAACTGAAGTTCGGGTAACCAAATTCCAGTTCTTGGCAGACTTTTATTTCAAAAGATTGACGTAGAGAACCGGGTATCGGTGAAACTAGTCAAACAAATTTGCATCGAGTCTTTCGTTCCTTTCTATTAATGAGTATGTCTCATAAGGTTTGATAATTATGCAATTTTCTATAAGCTTGAGGGGCAACACGATGATAATTTGAAACGTATTCGACTCGATTACAGAGATAAGAGTTGTTGAGGAAGGAAGCTTTCATGATATTGGTTGCCTATGTTCCTTACCCTCTGGGTTGAACGCGTCCGTCCTTTCTTTGTATATATCTTTTTTTTTTTATCTACTCAAAATTCACCTAAAAGTAAACGATTAGATAATACAAGTTCTATACTTGGAAGTCATTGCGTTTGTACCATTTAAATAACTAATTTTAATAAGGGACATATTTCAAGGGTTGGAAACTCTGTCGGTCAACTCTTTGATTCTTTAATTTTAATTAGCTTCCTCAACGTGAGAATAGTATCTGGCTGGCTCTAAGGTTCATTTCGAACTGTAAGTTGCTTTAAAACAATATTTATACTCAAGCAACACACAAATGTGGGTGTTATGTAGATATATGGCGAGAAAATGTTGATGGTAACAAAGATTTTGCTAGTAATTCGTTCTTCGATGATTAAATCCTAACTATTCTTCAAGTGTTTTATTGTCGTATTTTGAAAAGAATCTTCAAACTACTGAATTTAAAGTATAAGTTATCCTGCTCTGAATTATTGCTCCGAATCCGATGTTCTTACCATCTAACACTGCTTCTGTTTCTCCTTGTATAAGACCCAACTGAGAAAAAGGCAACTTGCTGCGAAAAAAATATCTTTGTCATTAACAGCCCTTTGCAGCCAAGCCTAGTTTCCTCAATAGAAAACAAATATTTTAGCTATATCCCTAACATTCAATGTCCTTTATCTCTCTGAATTTCGTCTTCCTCTTTAATCTTAACAAAGAAAACCAAATTTGATGATAGGGTGCGTCAACGTCTCTTACAGAGAAAAAGAGTCGAGTGGGTCTCACTTCCAAAGGCGTCAACTTTCCAAGCATCAAAGTTTTTATTTTGATGATAATATTTTGATTGTCTCATTTTCAGCGGAGACATATTCAAGTGGTTTCTTGGAAAACTACCATCGCATACTTGATAGAATGATCGGATTAAAGACCATTATTTCAAATCTTATGTCGGTCTGTTCAGGCTTAACTAACAACGGCAGCTTGCATACACTTCTATTTGCAATGTATTCAAGCACTCCTTTTGCTGAAAGTGTGCAAACAAGTTTTCCTTGAGACAACAGTATTTGAACAGACCACAGCATTTTGTCAAGCACAGCAATTTGTTAAATGGTTAAACTTTATGGTTTGTATAATGATATCACGACTGATATTTCTGAATAATTGGATGAGAGGACCAAATGCATTGGAAAATATTTGGACTGAGTTTATATCTCAATTAAGAGAAGAATTCAACTTAGTTCTTAATTGAAAGGTTCCCAAACCAACTCAGTTGCATAGAAGACATAATAAATCGCGACATTGGTTTTAGCCACGATTAGATTTGATACATGAACTCTATATCTTGGTGTGCCTATACGAAGATCTAGGAAGAAAGTTCTTGTACTTTCAATCAATCGAGTACGATATTTACAACCAAAAGCGTGACTTTCCTGTAGATCGATCATCTAAATTCGAAATCTGAGCATATAAAAATACTTTGAGTGTATCGCATTGCTGGCTTTCTTTATTGCGAATTTGAAATGGTTATCGGCCGAGCCTAACGCAGCATACCACATTAGCTCTAGCACAATTTTTACTAAACACGTTGAAGGCAAGTTTTTTATGGCTAAAGCTGTGATGCTCTTCTCGTCTCAAATTCACTAGGCTCAGCATCTCTTCGTCAACGTCTGCATTCTGACGACCACCCAGGTATACCACAACGGGTGCATCTTCTGCAAAATCTGATGAGCGGTGATCACATTTACTGCATATAACTTTTTAGGTGGATTTGTTGTGAGCCCCAATAATTGCTGCTTCTTATTTTGAGCTTTATCAGAAGTGGAGGGGATACTAACTATATAAACCAACTATGTAGAGACATTCTAAGTGTGTCTCTCTCTCTTATAAATAATTTCAGATGGTTGAGTGGAAACAAGAAGAAAAAGCGCAAATTGACGTGCTAATCAATGCTGTGAGGCATGGCGTGAGAACGCCGGTTTTGAGAACACCCGACTCAGTTGGTTTGAAGTATGAGGACATTTACTTTCCTTCCCAAGATGGTGTCCCTATCGAAGGTTGGTTTATTCCTGGCAAAGCTGACCGTTTGATTATATGTAATCACTTCTGGCCAGGTAACCGTTATGGCTACGCTGGACAATTGGAGGGGCTCGGTGGCTTTGGTGGTTTCGAAGTGAATTTCTTAAACTATTACAAGCACCTCCATGATGCTGGATACAGTATATTGACTTATGATTTCAGAAACCATGGCCTCAGCGGTGAAGGCAATGGTTCCACCTTTGCCTTGGGTTTTTTTGAGTACCGTGATGTTATCGGATCAATCCGCTACGCAAACTCAAGACCTGACACCAAAAATATGCAGAAAGCGCTTATGTCTATCTGTATGGGATGCAACTCCTCTATTATTGGTATGCACAAGCAGCCAGAGGAGTTCAAGGATATCAAATGTATGTTAGGGTTACAGCCAGTGTCAGCTCGGCCCTTCTTGACAAAATCAATTGGAGCTATGAATTTCAGCAAGCCTGTAGACGAAATTCTCGAGTACTTTGACAAAGAGCTTATTCTTGGCACAAGTAGAGGAATCGATGACTTGACTCCTATTCCTTATGCCAAAAGTGTCAAAGTTCCAACCAAGATCTTCCAGTTGCACCGGGATTACCGTTCTGATCCTAGTGATGTTCAAGCAATTTATGACGCCCTTGGTTGCAAAGACAAGGAGCTTTATTGGATTGAAGGCGAAACTGAACGTTTCACCGCCTATAATTACTTTGGAAAAGATCCTAAGCTTATGCTTGATTGGTTTGATCGTCACTTCGATTGAAAATGTGGCTATATTTGGTACGAAAGCACAGATCAGAAAATGTGAGGACCACTTGTTACAATATATGTATCAATAGGTGAGCTGTGTAATGTACCTGCATATGTTCGATGTTATGTATACAATACTTCAAGATCGTCCTGTTATGCAAGTACCATACTGTACAAGCTTTATACGAATGTCTTTAAAAATTTCTTTATGTCGATAACAAGACACTTACGTTTATGACAAGCAGCGTACTATGTATTAATGTCTGGAGCCCAGCTGTTTAAGAGTTATTAGCTGTAGGTATCTATTCTAAGGTATTGAGAAGCAAGATGTGACTACGTTGGGTGCTTAAACTGGGTGAAAGCATTCTTGAAATACAAAGATTGTGCATGTCCCTTAACATCTTCAAGCTAGCTGGAATTTACCTCTCAATCCTAGATACACCCTAGAATCAATGTTATTAAATTTATTCGGGGGTCTATAAAAAAACAATCAAGTTTAAAAGATTTTGGATGTTCTTTTGTTTCCTGTACTTTCTCTGAATAAACACTTGCTTTAAATCAAAAAGTGAAGCTTTGTTCCAAAATTTTTTTTTTTTTGCATCGTTCAGAAGCTCCGTAGTTCGTAAAACTACAATGTTTTTTCCTTCTTACATACGTCGTATGGTCTTCACTCCGTGTCATATGAAGTAAGACTTTTAATTTGCTATCCACTTAGTTGGGTCAAAGGAAGTCTGTATATTTGAGAGATGGAGTCATTGATAAGGATTGTACTTTAGAATACCGCAAAGTTGATACTGAAGCTAAATAGGGCCGAAATAGCCTTAAAAATATGTCCCCTCCGATAACAGGAAAAGTCAGTCACAGAGTGTAACTTCGCGCAATATTGTCTGATTATCCACAATATAGAATATTAACTTCAGATTCAGAAAACACTATAATTTATACATGTACTTGGACCAGTTTTGGTAGCCACTATGGAGCTAGATATCGAAGAATATAAAGCACTCACGTCAACTCTACTGGCTTTCTATAACTTTAACAAATATGAATATGAACAAATTATCAAGCCTCGTAAGATCAAATTAGCATCATTATCAGAAGAAGAATTAGCATTACTACCTTGGTATCCAAAGTACATAGAGGATCTCCAAATATGCATAGATTATAACGATCAGTTTACAAAAACTTTGGCCTTAACAATTTCACAAGATTGGGGCGTGCATCCAAATCCTGCTGAGTGGGCTCCATGCTCTGCTACAGAGTTTGATAAAGTGAGATCAACGCTATTGCAACTCTCTCGTGAGTGGAGCTCTGATGGTGAAATAGAGCGTAATATATCGTACAATAAAATTATAGAAGAATTGAATACTCTTTTCCCTGAACTCTTAACAAGGCCAGATGTGAAGGTCTTGGTTCCAGGTTGTGGCCTAGGTAGGCTTGTTTTAGAATTCGTGAAGGAGGGATATTCATGCCAGGGAAATGAGTTCAGTTACCACATGCTATTAACATCCAACTTTATTTTGAATCATTGCAAGTATGCACATAGCTATTCGATTTTTCCTTATCTCCATAAATCGTCACACTTGCTTAAGAGGGCAAATCAAATTCGGCCAGTAACAATTCCAGACGTGAATCCGACGAGTATTCACGAATTATCCGAGAAGAATCCTCAAATACCCTATGATGATTTAATGTCAATAGCATCCGGTTCTTTTACCGATTTGTATGGTCCACCCGATTTGAATATCAGCGACACGTATTCAAAAGATCCAATTGCTAGTGAATTTAGGCTCCAGCATATTAATAGTTTCGATGTGATCGTTACTTGCTTTTTTATTGACACGGCTTCTAATATCATTGATTACCTCAAGACAATTAAGCATTGCTTGAAATCAAATGGTTACTGGATAAACTTTGGGCCACTACTTTGGCACTTTGAAGATGATTTTAATGTATCATACTCTCATAAAAAGCTCACAAAGGATTCACCACCTATAAAAGTTCCTACAACAATGAAGGGACTCGAACTATCGAGAGAAGATCTTATTGATCTTATTAACAAAATGGGTTTCAGATTTGAAAAGCATGAGTCCAACATTGAATCAACTTATAGTGGTGATATAAGATCCCTTGGAGGGTATATTTATAAGTGTGAGTTTTGGGTTTGTCGTAGTGTAGATATAGAGCAATGACACATTATTACCTTTTTTGAATCATATTAATATCATGTCGATCTACTAACTTGGGAATAACCCTATCAATGAGGTCGTGTGCGTAGCAACTGTAAAGATTTATGATAAAGAATTTATGACCTAGAAAGGAGGCCAAATATAAATTCACAAGTTTCTTCTTTAGAAAACACTCCAAAGAGCTTAACATTGGGATTAAGAAGTGATTTTAAGTGCATCGGACGACGGTAATTGATTATATAATGAGCTTTCCCAATCCTGCTACTTCTGTCAAATTAGTCTTATTAGGGGAAGCGGCAGTCGGTAAGTCGTCCTTAGTATTACGCTTTGTTAGTAATGATTTCCAGGAGAACAAAGAACCTACAATAGGAGCGGCATTCTTAACGCAGAAATGTACGATCGGTGACCGTACCATCAAGTATGAGATCTGGGATACTGCAGGTCAGGAGAGATTTGCTTCTTTAGCACCAATGTATTATAGAAACGCTCAAGCGGCATTAGTTGTTTATGATATTACAAAACCTGCATCATTTATAAAAGCAAGACACTGGGTAAAGGAGTTGCATGAACAAGCATCCAAAGATATAACAATCGCATTAGTGGGAAATAAGTATGATTTAGTCGAGGATGATAATGATGGTGAGGACAGTTTACGGAAGGTTAGTATTGAAGAGGGTAAGAGCTTGGCAGATGAAGAGGGTTTGCTATTTTTCGAAACGAGTGCTAAAACTTCCTATAATGTCAATGAGGTGTTTATTGGCATAGGTAATAAGATTCCCGATAATACCAAGAATTCGAATTCCAATCAACAAGGTCCAGGAAACGAAGCAAGTAGAGAGGGCCGTATTGACTTGAGCTCCAATTCAAATGGCTCTGCAAGAGGCGGTGATTGTGCTTGTTGAGAAAAGATGATGCTCTTTCTTTTAAGGCATTTATATTGTGAGTTTTATACGTATATTATATATTTTTATATCTTTAATCCTGTTTTTGCTTTTGTTATCAAGTTTTCTTTCCTTATCTTATTTGTAGTGAAATGTTTGAAATTATTTACTTCTTTGCCATTCATGCGTACATTTAGGTTCCCATCTGTTAACTCTCGAATATCTGAAATATCGAGTATTTTTTCTGTAGCCAGAAAATAACTAAAAGATCTTAGAAAAACTTACTCAATGTCGTTCAAGATCAGAGTAGCTTACATCCCTGAACATTTCTCGACTCCTTTATTTCTTGCTGAAAAGCAGGAATATTACAAGTCGAAAGGTCTAGAAATTGAGTTTATTCCGGTTCTTGAAGGAACGGGTCGCTTAATCAAATTGTTAAATGATAACGAAGTTGATATCGCTATCGGATTGACTGAAGGATTTATCGCAGATATTGCTAAGGGAAATGAAGCTTACAAAGTCGTCGGATCTTACGTAACCTCGCCCTTATGTTGGGCCATCAGTACCGGATACAATAGAGATAAGATTAATAAACCAGAGGATTTGGCAGGTGATCGCATTGGTGTCTCTAGGATTGGATCTGGCTCTTATATTATGAGTTTCGTTTTGGGACTTCAATTGAAGCTTCCTGAGCCTTATTTCAGTGATTTTCCGGTCTTATCCAACTTTAAGAACTTGAGAGATTCAGTTAATCGTAAGTTGTCCGATGATTTAAATAGTGACGCCTTCATGTGGGAGTATTTTACTTCAAAGAAATATTATGATAACAAAGAGATCAAGAAAATAGGTGAGATCTATACACCTTGGCCATCGTGGGTTATTGCTGCTAAGCGTGAAATCTTAGACCTGAACATAGCAGAAGTCAAGAGCTTCTTGGAGTCAATTAGAAAAGGTATGAAGTTTTTCCTTGAAAATAAAGATGCGTCTGTTAGCCACATCGCTACAAATTTAGATTATACTGAAGAAGATGCTCAAGAATGGTTGAAGACAGTGAAGTTCAATGAATCTGTAGGTGAGACGGAAATCGATTGGAAATCAGTTGTCGAAAATACTGCAGATGTCTTGAAAAAGGCTGGCGTGTTGACTGATGATGACAATACCATCCAAAAAAGATTGGAAAAAGGAGTTGTCAAGGTATTATAGATCAGAATCGCATGTCGCCGAGCAAATACTTTAGAGATACCACAACATGTTATCTTTCTCATACTTTTCTTATAATTTAGTATCTTTGCGGAATGTTTTGTCTTGAAAAAGCTCCTTCTTTTTTGTTGTATTAAGCTTTGTATAGAAAATTGTAGAAAAAATAAAATTAGCTTACGCTTTTTTAAAGTTGCCTCAAATTAGGTTACAAAGCAAAGTGTTCAAGCTCAAAAAACTTTTTACGCTCTGCATTCCACAGGTGATGAAAGAGCCTCTGGTTTCTATTCCTCTCAATGTTCAAAGAGATAACTTCGCGAAGCTAAACTCGTTGGAATTAGACAGAATTTCAGAAGGGTTAAATTACCCTGATGAATCAGAATGGTCCATCAAAATAGCTTGCAGCGATCGCAACGTTGATCGTAATAGATATACGAATGTATTTCCATGGGATAAAACACGGGTGAAGTTACCCGTAATAAATGGTGGATCTGATTATATCAATGCGTCGTACATTAGTGTTAATGATGAAAAACCAAGCTACATTCTGACACAGGGTCCCCTTGTCAGAACAGTGCATCATTTTTGGGCCATGTGCTTCTCTGAGTCAGAGAAGCAAAAGAATGATGTTGTTATAATCGCAATGGTGACTCCTTTGGTCGAGCTGAACGTCACTAAATGCAACAGATACTGGCCAATCAATGATAACGAAGAATTGGATTTTACAGAAAATTTGAAGAAAGATTCGATCGATTTGCCTGGCTTAAGCATTAAGCAAATTTCATCCACCTATAATAGTGATGTGGACTACTTAGTGACGATACTTGAGTTGAAATCGGGAGATAAAGTCAAAACAGTTTATCATTATTACTACTTCAAATGGGCTGATTCTAAAGTTCCCTCATCTGTTCTTCCTTTAGTTTCATTATCTAAAGAAATTGCTCAAATAAAGTTGAGCGTCTCAAATACGCCCATTCCTATAGTACACTGTTCGGCTGGTGTCGGTCGTACTGGCACCCTAATAACATTAGATCAACTTCTTCACAATAAAACCCTTTACCGTTCTAAAGATCCTATAATGGAGATAGTTTCTCAGCTTCGATCAAGTAGAATGATGATGGTTCAGACGGTGTATCAGTTTAATTTCCTTTACGAAGTGTTAATGAATTATATAGAAAAGCAGTCTCTTCATAATTAGTGAATATTTATATATATCGCATTTTTTTATATTATATTGTTGCAAACTTTTAATAAATACCCTTTTTAAGAAAACGTTGTCGTTACTATTAAAGCAACTGATAGAAACAAAACGCATTGAAGATATCATGTTAGGAGCTTCTCTTTCGTTAAGCGTTATTAACAGTGAGGATACTTCCGAAGATAATAAAGAGAATATTTCGCCGCTGAAGCATGAAACTAAGAGTCCCAATATCGAAGAGAGAGCAGTGATCTCAAAAAAGAAAGCAATTTTTCAATTAGTTCACTTAAGGAATACAATTGATATTAGGATATTAGATTCATATGCCAGGAGCAGTGAACCTGAATTTAATCAAAAGCGTTTGACTGTTGAACTACAACATAAAAAGGATAAGATCAGCCTTTGCATAAATACAGAGGGGATGTATGAAAGCTTAGTTGCAATGAGCATGAGATACCACATCGTAGAGTCCCTGGATCACAGGAATGGCAACGAAGGAGTTCATATTTTTTGTAGCAAAATAGTGGCCAATCAATGGGAGGTTGATTTCCTGAGTGATGTTTCGAAACATTTTGAATCAGTCATTTGTGAATTTGTCACAAACCAGATAAAGCAATTGGGGCTGCCGATATTTTCAGGCTCTTCAAGAACATGCTTGGGTCTCTCACGTAAGATAAAAGGATGCAGTATTTCACGCATACCATTTGGTACCGGTCTTGCCTTTCTTTTTGAAAATATTGCTAATTCTCTGGACCTTATTAGGGAGTTGTGCGAGTACAAGAGAAACCACGAAATCAAAGTTAATGATCAATTCTACTCTCGAATTTTATCCTTGGCTGATATCAAGAGGGCTAATGACGTGACATCAAATCGTGATATACATCTGGAGTCAACTCAAAAAAACAAGGTCATAATGCCGGTAACAACAATTTTAACTTTTCAACAAAGGGAGGTAAGTTGCTTGATTGGTTGTAAGGGACATAGGCTTGACTTCATCCGTGAGTCTACGAAATGTTGCATTAAGGTTCAATCTATAGATTCGGGAAGTGGTGTATCCATTTCATTACCTAGGAACAGTGTTCCTCAATCTGTTTCAGTTACTGGTCAGCCTAAGAATGTGCAACAGGCAGTTCAGCATATCCAATACTACATAAAGCGATTCAGAGAGAGTGGGTCTAAATTCATATAATTTCAAAAGTTGCAAAAAAGCTATGATAGATCTGGATATTTTGCGTAATTTTAGGACCGATTAGAACTTTCAGAACGTGTCCCAATTGGGTTTGTGAAACAAATTGAAAATTAAAAAAATTTTTTTTTTTTTCATTCACATAGTATTCTGTAATGAGAAGTTGAAATTTTTCATCTCATTAAATTTTTCTATCGAAAGTTAAAGACTTAAAAATGGCTGAAGGTGTTTTCCAAGGTGCTATTGGTATCGATTTAGGTACTACTTACTCATGTGTCGCTACGTATGACTCAGCAGTTGAGATTATTGCCAATGAGCAAGGTAACAGAGTTACTCCATCATTCGTTGCATTCACAGATGAAGAAAGATTAATAGGTGATGCTGCTAAAAACCAAGCTGCATTAAACCCAAAGAATACCGTTTTCGATGCTAAGCGTTTGATCGGACGTGCTTTCGATGATGAATCTGTGCAAAAGGATATCAAATCCTGGCCATTCAAAGTTGTTAACTCCAACGGTAACCCCCAAATTGAGGTGCAATATTTAGGTGAGACAAAGTCATTTTCTCCTCAAGAAATTTCTGCAATGGTCTTAACCAAGATGAAGGAAATTGCTGAAGCTAAGATCGGTAAGAAGGTTGAGAAAGCCGTCGTGACTGTTCCAGCTTATTTCAATGATGCTCAAAGACAATCTACCAAAGACGCCGGTGCTATTGCTGGTTTGAATGTCTTGCGTATCATCAACGAACCAACTGCCGCAGCCATTGCATACGGTTTAGGTGCTGGTAAATCTGAAAAGGAAAGATTTGTCTTGATTTTCGATTTGGGTGGTGGTACTTTCGATGTCTCATTATTGAACATTACTGGAGGTGTCTTCACTGTTAAGGCAACTGCTGGTGATACTCACTTGGGTGGTCAAGATTTTGATACCAATTTGTTGGATCACTTCAAAAATGAATTCAAGAAGAAAACTGGTTTAGATATCTCTAACGATTCTAGAGCTTTGAGAAGATTAAGAACTGCTTGTGAGCGTGCCAAGAGAACATTATCATCTGTTACTCAAACTACTGTTGAGGTTGACTCTTTGTTCGAGGGTGAGGACTTCTCTGCCAACATTACCAGAGCTAGATTCGAAGATATTAACTCTGCTTTATTTAAGTCTACTTTAGATCCGGTTGAACAAGTTTTGAAGGATGCTAAGGTTTCTAAGTCTAATGTTGACGAAGTTGTTTTGGTCGGTGGTTCTACCAGAATTCCAAAGATTCAAAAATTATTATCTGATTTCTTTGATGGTAAACAATTAGAAAAGTCAATCAACCCAGATGAAGCTGTCGCTTATGGTGCTGCTGTCCAAGGTGCCATCTTGACTGGTCAATCTACATCTGAAGACACCAAAGATTTATTGTTATTAGATGTCATTCCATTGTCATTAGGTGTTGCTATGCAAGGTAATGTCTTTGCTCCTGTTGTTCCAAGAAACACTACTGTTCCAACTATCAAGAGAAGGACTTTCACTACCGTCGCAGACCATCAAACTACGGTTCAATTCCCAGTTTACCAAGGTGAACGTGTCAACTGTACTGAAAACACCTTGTTGGGTGAGTTTGACTTGAAGAATATCCCACCAATGCAAGCTGGTGAGCCAGTATTGGAAGCAATCTTCGAAGTTGATGCCAATGGTATCTTGAAGGTTACTGCCGTTGAAAAATCAACCGGCCGTTCTGCTAACATTACTATTTCTAACTCCATTGGTAGATTATCTTCTGACGAAATCGAGCAGATGATCTCAGATGCTGAGAAATTCAAGTCTTCAGATGATGCATTTGCCAAGAGACACGAACAAAAGCAAAAATTAGAGGCTTACGTTGCTTCTGTTGAATCTACTGTTACCGATCCAGTTTTGTCTGCTAAGTTGAAGAAATCAGCTAAGGACAAGATCGAATCTGCTTTGTCTGATGCTATGCAAGCTTTGGAAATCGAAGACTCCTCTGCTGATGACTACAGAAAGGCTGAGTTGGCTTTGAAGCGCGCTGTTACCAGAGGTATGGCTACTCGTTAAGTGTAATTAATAAATCAATACTTTGGTATATACAAAATTTTCATGTTTGTTTATTGAGTCCTGACTTTCAATAGATATCGTTATTTGTAGAAATATTCAATTTTTCATTACTGGGAATCCTCCAAAATATAATTTCCAAGTTTATCCATTTTTAAATTATCAGAACCTGACGATATAGCTTCAATAATTTTTTCATTTTTATTGACATCATCTTCGTCGTTTCGTTCAAAATCGTCTTCAAGATCTTCGTCATAGGAGTAGTCGTCTTCAGATTCGTCATCATATGAATTTTCGATGTCAATCTCAGAGTGATCACTTTGGTTGTCTGAGTCTTCCGAGTCATCATTGATTCTCATTTCTCTTACAGCACCTTCTAGATCTTTATCTTCCTTCTTGGTGAGCTTCTTTTTTGAGTATCCAGAAGCTTGGACTTCAACGTCTAACGTATTACTTCGATGAACATCTCTTTTGAAATTGGGGTATGCATATCTATAACCATCCCCATAACCATCCGTTTCATACATAGTGGAATCATGCTCAGGGACATACTTGAATCTTTTCTTGAAGTAAGACCTTATTCCATCTACATCTCTGTCGAAGTATCGCTTAGCATCAGTGTGTTCGATTGAGACACACTGAGGGAAATCAATGACAATGAACTTCAGACTATCCTTAACGTCTCCATCCTTCTCACATATAATGATATTAAACTCGTTAAAATCACAATGTATTAAACCGTGATTAGCTAGCTCTACAATAAAACGCATTAAGTCAGAATATAACTTTTTATAACAGCTGCTCTCGCGTAGTTGCTTCATGGGTACTCCTTTAATCCACTCCATTAATACACAATGCCTAGAATAGTCAAAGGGCTCTGGAACGGAAAAGCCGTGCTCATAAAGTACAGTCATGAATTGATATTCCTTATTAGCAGCTAATTTCGATAAGTACATCCAATTCGAAGAATGCTTACTTCTTAAATAATCACGGTTGTTTTTCACCGTACGGAACGACGTTCTTCCCAATCTATGTATCTTTAAGACTTTCTGAGTACCTGCCGTGTCGCTTACCGAATAAATATCGGATTCTTTACCTACTCCAATTTTAGTTCCCACTGAATACAAAGTCTCTCTTTTAAGCATAGACTTCAAAGCCAAAAAATCATATCCAGAAAAACCAAGCCTAAAACCGTCATATTTAGCGTTTCTAAGTCTAGATATAAGCTTAAGTTTGGCCAAGTCCCCAATAGCCCTATTTGTCCTTGCTGGTGACTTCAATCCGGATAATGAATGTATTAATTGTGTAGGAACTAACTCATGATTCTTGGTTCCTTGCTCAATAGACTGTAGCACCCTAAAGTCATCTTGTGTCAAATACCTTAGGTTAGTTGTATCAAGTTTCATTCTCTAACTCTTTGGGTAAATTTCTAGATTTAAAGAAAAATTTAGTTTTTTTCATCTCATCTCTTCACGCGATGTTTTGATAAAGTTTCAGTTTGTTTATCTCAAAGACAAAGCCCCAACGTAAGATACGACTCTGAATGGTTAAATCTAGATTCAAACGTCTAAATACCCACAGACGAAAGTGTGGAAGAAAGAGAAAATACGTTATTAAGGATGCAAATAAGCAATCGCGAGATACTTTTATATTGAATTTACGGAAGATCGGTGGATCCATTGATTCACTGTATACTGATCACACTAAGGGATCAAATTATTCGTGGACAAGAGTCGAGCCCTTAGCAGTGAGTCGCAGTCATGAAATAGACGAAAACAGGAGAAAGGTTCTTTCTTTGAGGCAGATTTGTGCTAGGGTAATAGCACACAATGCGAATAGTTTGGACTCTTCTTACTTCGAGTTTGCTTCACCACAGTGCTGGATCATTGTGTGGAGAGAAGTTTTGGCCCTCGATAAAGACAGCTTCCGAGTATTTTCAATGTTTGCATCCTATTGTACGTCTGAATCTGGATTTAGATCACACAGTATACCAAAGGTCATTGCTGATTATAGGAAATGTAAAGATGGTAGCAAATCGAAGGTATTGAGGCAAAAAGCTTTACACAGCAATCTTATTCCTAAGTTAGGGATTCATAGGATCGAAAATGTCTTTTCGAATGTCCTGATTCAAAGCTTCATCAAGACTCTTCATGGTCTTAGCTATCACCCTCTCGTGTTGCTTGACCTTTCTTTTGCAGCGAAATCAATGAGTAAAGACGAACTTATACTTATATTTAATTTACCCAATCTTGTTGCCCTAAATCTATCCAATAACCTGCATGTCGATGACCATTACATCCAATGCCTCGTTAGTAGCATCGAAAAAGACGATAAGTTGAGTAAACTTACAATTTTGAAAATTCAAAATTGTCCCAACGTCACCGAATCAGGAATTCGAAGACTTTTTGATTTAACACATGAAGACTGCATTAATAACTCATTGGCATTAATTTTGACTGATCATTATATGCTTGAACCAGAAACCCGCGTTTCTTATTGTGAAGATGTGTCTGATAATAAACAAATTCACGGAAGTAAATGGTTTTTGGTTCATCCTCAAAGCAGCGAAGGCAAATTGATGGCTAAGTTGCCTTTGGGATTATGTCTTCATATATTGTATAGGCTCTACCATAAGTGCGTTATCAAGAGACTGGGGGAGTTCTCATTTAATAGTACGAATTCTTGGAGGTATCTATACCTGATTCAGAGAAATATACTTCTAGACTTCATGTTCTTTAGCGAATCAGAAGATACGAACAAAAGTGTCGACAGAACTTGGGAAATGAGGTTGAGCTCACGGAATCAGAAAGACAACAAAGCATTTTGCTATATCATCAACAACAATTTAGACTCAAACGTAGACACCAACCACAGAGAAGTCGTCAATCAAGCAATTTCTTCAAATGACGATAAACTGAAAAGAAAAAAGCCAGTCATCAGAAATACAAATGCTAGACATTATTTTAAGTTCTAAATATATATAAACTGGCTCGATGATATATATATATATAGATTTGTAGTAGAAATGAGAATCTATCAGTTATACTTAGTTCGAAGAGAGACCTCGAGTGGCTCCACCTTTGAGAACACTCAACAAATCCTGGGCAGCGGAATGCATTCCACTCAGACCTCCTACTGCTGTATTCGTAGTATTTTCTCTTTTAATGATGGGTGATCTTGTTTCCTCATTGTCCTGTGGCCGAATGTTTTTGTTAGATTTACCATTACCATTGCCTAGTAAGCTTAAAAGATTTGCAGCTGCTGAAGTTGCATGTTGACGAGGCTCATTCTCACGAGAAACGGAAGATATGGATTCTCCAGCACTCGTTTTATCATCTTCAGGCTCTGAGTTTAAGGCTTTTCCACCATTTAATAATTGTAAAAGAGACTGCCCTGCAGACTGCTGAGTTGATACCTGTTCAGGCTTCTTATCTTTTTCAATACGAAATAAATTATCAAGTGATTCACCCGGCTTTAAAATTCTAAGCTTTGTTTTTTTTGGCTCTTCACGAGAGTCAACTGTTGTATTTATATCTGCGTCCTTATGATGATTGTTTTCAGGTTTGGATACTGTATGAGGCTCAGCGCTGATATGATCCAAATCATCGTCGCTATCAACATCAAAATTACGAAATGTGTTTCTGGTGTTTACGCCAAAATTTTCATACAGCTCATGAGGGTCTTCGAAAAGCTCAAAGTCATCAAAGTCATCAAAATTTTCATTGCTGTAATCACCAAAACTTTCAGCTTCCACTGAATTGTTTAAGGGTACTGGGACATCAACCTTGCTCTCTGATTTTGGCTCTTGATTCAAGATGCTTAATAAATCATTCGACGAGGCAGCACGCAGCTTGTCCTTCTTATCTTCATTGATTAGTTGTAGGAACAGTGCCGCTGGTTTCCTTTCACCTTGTAGCTCTAAAACTCCATTATCCCCATGTTCTGGCTTCTTAAGAAGAGTCACCTTCTTTCCTTTATCATATCCATTTCCAGACAGTTTTATAGATCCTTCAAGTTCATTTGAGGGTTGATGTGAAGCTCCATAGGCACTATTTAAGTCCTCTTTCAAGATCGTTGGTTCCTGTTTTTTACCAAATAAGTCGAGAAGCGTTTGGGCCTTTGAGCGGTTTTTTGCTGCCTCAGCTGAGCTCGATATTGTTGGACTATTTTGTGAAGCATTTTTCAAAGGCTTTCTATTCAATATAGATAAAATCTCTTTAGAATTTGTTTCGCTGGATCTTTTATTGAACTCAGAAGAAGGTTTCTTTAAACTCTCTGGGTTGGGTTGTTGATCGACATTATGTATGTCTCGCAAACCATTCTGAGAGCTTGTAAGAGGAATTGGACCTGGGTGTACTGGATGAAATGGAGGGTGAAATTGATTTCCAGGAAGAATGGAAAAGTTACCAAAACCACCGCCCCCAGATAAAGGTGGATTATAAAACTGAGGAATTTGATTATGCACATGCTGAGGGATATTCATTTGGATAAAGCCTTGAGATGCCGGTCCTGATGAAGCGGATGTCGAATCATGGCTATTGGGTATTGCACCTTGTAAAATATCTAATATCTCCCTGCCAGCATCCTTGCTCTCGTGCCTCTGTTTATTAATACCCAATAAGTCTTTCAATTTCCTTTCTGCATCTAGCATGAGCTCCTCTTCAGATAAAATACCTTTGTTCTTGTTGATCCACTTAATCAAGGGCTTGAGAACGGTAGCCACCACAAAATAATGATTTGGGTTTTGTCTCACTTTCTTTTGAATTGTTTTTATGTCATGCCATTGAATCTTCGATATTTCATTTCTGGCTAAAGGTTGAAAATCAAAGTCTTCCGGTACATTTTTAGCTAAATAAATCTTGTAACTTTTTCCTTTGATTGTTCTCTCAATGACATCATTTTGGTTGACGTAGTCACTGGCATCAAACCCAGTTTCTTCTTTAGCTTCTCGCAAGGCACACAGGGGATAGG